GCTCCTGGTGCAGGGGCTGCTGGCGGTGCTTCTGGAGCGGGTGCTGCTGGAGGTGCTGGAGCTGTGGCTGTTGAGTCTTCCGGTGGTCCGGCTGGAGCTGGAGCTGCTGGGGGTGTTGGCGCTAGAGGTGCTGCTGGCGCTAGTGCTTCTGAGGGTGCTAGGGTTGGCGGTGCTGCAGCTGGGGGTGCTACTGGTGCTGGTGCTGCCGCTGGGGGTGCTGGTGCTGTCCCTGCTGGCTCTGGAGGCGCTGCGCGGCCGCGGCCATACTACGTTCCGCTCCTTCAGCAGGTTCTTCGTCTCCCGCCTTCTGCTTACCCTGCTCCTTCCTTAGAGTGTCCGCCGCCTGTCCAATCTGAGTCGCAGTTACAGCCCGCCTCCCCACTGCATGCTCCCTCTCCCTACACTGGTCCTACTGGAGGTCTTGCTGAGCGTCGTCAGCCTGCGTCTCGTCCTGCAGCACCTGTTCGTGCTGCTCGCACTAGTCGTCGTGTTCCGCGTCCGCGTCCTCCTGTGGTCCCAGGCACACACCAGATGGCACTGCGTCCTTCCACTGCTCCTCTGCGTGTCCCGTTGTCGTCTCCTCCAGAGTCCTCTCTTCCTGTTCTTGCTGACCCGGTGTCTGACTCTCTTCGTGCTGCAAGTCCTACTATCACGCGTCTCCTGGCTACTGTTGTCACTGACCCTTCCTTTGAGTCCACTGTTGCGTCTGCCTTAGTTGTTGAGCTTGTCGACTTTGCTGCTCACTGTCATCTTGACTACGCCGCTAGTCTTGTTGCTGAGTCTGAGTCTCTCTGTCATCCGTCCGTCGGGGGTGAGTGTGCTCTTAGCACGGACGTTCTTGAGGACAAGCAAGAGGAGTTCCAGTGTTTTGCTGCTGCTTTACCTCATCTCGTGTCCATGCTGATTGCCCCCGAGGGAGACCCGGATGCACCAGACATCCCGACTCCTCGATTGTACGCTGTGGCGATCGAGGGTCCCTACTCCTCATAGTGGCAGCCAGCCATGGACGCAGAGATTGCTTCCTGGAAGTCCACAGGCACCTACGTCGACGAGGTTCCCCCACCTGGGGCGAACATCATCAGTGGCATGTGGATTTTTAGGGTGAAGCGGCCGCCGGGTTCTCCGCCTGTCTTCAAGGCACGTTACATGGCTCAAGGCTTCAGTCAGCGGCAGGGAGTTGACTACTTTCATACCTTCTCTCCCACCCCAAGATGACCACTCTTCGGGTGCTGCTGCACATAGCCGCTCAGCGTGACTACGAGCTTCACTCTCTTGACTTCAGCATTGCTTTTCTACAGGGTAGCCTGCACGAGGAGATCTGGCAGCGACGCCCACGTGGCTTCACTCGGTCGTTTCCTCCCGGTACCCAGTCGAGCCTCTAGCGGCCAGTCTACGGTCTCCGCTAGGCGCCCCGTCAGTGGCACAACACACTGAGGACTACACTTGCGGCTCTTGGGTTTGCTCCTTCTACTGCCGACCCATCGCTGTTTCTACGCACCAACACCTCTTTGCCGCCGTTCTACATCCTCGTGTACGTCGACGACTTGGTCTTTGCCACTGCTGACACTGCTGGACTCGCCCACGTGAAGTCAGAGCCGCAGAAGAGACACACGTGCACAGACCTGGGTGAATTGCGCAGCTACCTTGGCTTGCAGATCACCTGGGACAGAGCACAGCGCACCATTACCCTGACACAGTCACACATGGTGCAGCAGGTCCTTCAGCGCTTCGACTTTACGTACTCCTTGCCTCAGGCCACTCCTTTGTCTACTCGCCACTCGCTCTCAGCTCTGCCTTCGGATGAGTCCGTAGAGCCGAGTGGCCCGTACCCAAAGCTTGTTGGCTGCCTCATGTACCTGATGACCTGCACACGACCTGACCTTTCATACCCTCTTAGCATCTTGGCACGCTATGTTGCTCCTGGGAGACACCGACCAGAGCACATGGCTGCAGCAAAGAGGGTGTTGCGCTACTTGTGCAGTACGTCAGGCATGGGGCTAGTGCTTGGAGGGCGACGTCGAGTGGTCCTCACAGGTGACGCAGACGCTTCTTGGGCTGACGACCACGCTACGCAGCGGTCGTCGCAGGGTTACACCTTCAGCTTTAGTTCCGGCTCTGTTTCGTGGCGGTCTACCCGTTCGTCTTCTGTTCTCGGCTCCAGCTGTGAGGCTGAGATCTATGCAGGGGCCATGGCTGCACAGGAGCTACGCTGGCTCACCTACCTGCTGAGTGACCTAGGAGAGCCGCCTCGTTCTCCTCCAGTTCTGTACGTAGACAACAAGGCCATGCTGGCCTTGTGTCGGGAGCACAGACTGGAGCACAGAACGAAGCACATTTCTTTCCGCTACTTCCTTGCTCGTGAGCTGCAGCAGCGTGGTCAGCTGCGTCTTGCTTACGTGGCCTCTGAGGCCAACACTGCTGATATCTTTACCAAGGTGCTTTCGCCTGGTGATCATCAGCGCTTCTGTACGATGCTAGGTCTTATGCCTACTTGGCCTCACTTGCTCACTTCTTGACCTTGCTTGTACTGTGATCTATCTATACCTGCACTTGCTTGTTTACCTTTATATATAATATTGCCTGTGAACTGGCCTTGTGGCCTTGAACTTGTGCTCGAAATGTGTGGTGATGTTGTGATCCACCCTGAGGTTACTGTGCTTTGCTTGACTGGTCTTGTGATCTCTTGTTCTCCCCCACTTTGCCTATGGGGTTGTGTCAAACTTATATGCTATAGTCTGTGTAGGCTGTAGTGGGGTAGATAATATGGGGTACAACACTTTTAGGTTTTCCTACTTGTACCCACTCGTTTCCTAGTGCATTCATTCCTCGTTCTTTCACACTCTGGGCACTCACTCTTGCGATGGCCCGGCCTATTGCAAGCAAAACAGCGCCCCTTAAACGGTCCGGCAGCTGCATTTGTCACAACAGCATGTACAGTGGCGTGCTCGATCGGTCCCCGAGGGCGATGTCCGTAGTAGGACCCCGGTCTCGGACAGCGTAAAATGTCGATTTCCTCGGCGAGCGAGAGAATCTCGTTGAAATTCGAGAGTCCGCGTAGCATGATTTTGTGCGAGATGCCCGGCTTAGCCCTTAGATGTAACGGTCCACCCGCTTCGCTTCGTGCATGCAGTCGACTTGTTTGCATAATGCGAGAAAACCGCTCGTATAGTCTTGAACCGATCCGAGTTGTCGCCAAGTACGCAGTCTCTGACGCACCGAAATAGAAGCCGCGATCGGCTCGAAGCGCGCCCGAAGCCCTGCGCACCAAGCGTCCCACGTGTTGTATTGGCGGTTTCGCATAATTAACTCTGGGTGACAGCTAGGCCCGTGGGCCCTTCCTCTTGCGACGGTGGCTCGTAGGCGCGTAGCGATGTCACAATGACTTGCCACCAGTCCATGGCAGGGCCCCTCGGCAGCGAGACGAGACGACATATCGGATCTTCGCTGCGTCCGACTTGACATAGTCCGCGTAGAAAAAGACGTTCATCGTGAAGAACCACGACTGAATCGTCAGACCTCCGCGCTGGCTCGGGTCGAAACAGGGCGGGTGTTGCGGCTTGAGTGGCATTGGTGCCATGATGGGGTGGTCGCCGCTTGTCGCTGCAAACTCCACGTGCCGACGGGCTTCACGAGGCTCCCGCGGGCTTGGCGCCGCCCTGTTCCTCTCCATGCCAGGCATCGATTGAGAGGAGCCATGACTGGTTGCGCCAGAGCGCTATCCCACGCTGTCGTTTTGTGTCGGTATGCCTGATGAAATGACGATCGGCTCCTTCGATTGTGCGGGTGCGTTTGCAGGAGCATTCACCGTGGATTGCTGACGAGCGGAGTCGCGTTCCGCCGTGAGTGTCGCAATTTCGAGTGCCGAGTCTTCGATTTGGCGCACGAGACGGTCGAGTTGCTCTTGTGTTAGTGTCGCGAGAGTGAATTCGGCCATGGCAAGGGTGTCGGGCAAGCTCAGCGAGAGCCTCTGTCGTGGACGTGCGTGCTTACGAGAGAGCACTACGAGCGGCGGTGCTTGTTTCGCTGAGAGACGTCTACCCCCCCTAAAAATTGAGACAGTGGGGAAGCGAATATTTGGGTGCGGTTCGTGAAGAGATCGTAGGCTCTGATACCAAGTGTTATGAGTGCAATTGAGTGAATGAACGAGAATTGCACTATCGAAGCAAGAGTATAATGAGCGAAGGTAGGAGCGAAGAATATATAGCGAAAACTATAGTGGTAACGGTAATGCGTGAAAGTGGGGTGCGCGGCGGGCTTGGCGTCGAGGTTGGGAAATGACGAGGCGGAGGTCCGGAATGCGGTTTACTAACCGAACTGTGAGGTTGGGTCGCGTCGTGAACAGTGGCGGGAACAGTGTAGAGACGAATGTCGCGATTGGTAACGGATTACTGTTGGGTGCTGTTGGCGGGAACAGTGGAGTACGCGCTGAGCAGGGACGCGAAGTAAGGAAGAAGATTTTTCCTTACATTATGCAGCATATTGGTAGACCAAATGTTCCAAAGCCCATTGTTCTACACCCAACAATGAGCCAGTTTCAACTGAAATATTGCCATTCTGCAACCTTCCCAGGGCATTTTTTTCGGTTATGTGCTTACGGTCAGTTTTCGCCACCTGGGATGTAAAGTTCGTGACAGGCTTCGTCAATTCATTGGCGCTCTCATTCATAAATCTGCCCGCTCATCGTACGGAAAACCGACAGACCCAAGGATGTGCTGCGGGGCTGACCGCGGCCCTTGAAAATTGCGCGAACTCCCTCGAGTTCATCTCATAAACCTCCTCGAAAATTGCTCAACGCCACCCCTCGCTCAAGAATTGCTGAATCAGGGACCTGGCATTCCTACTGTAGAATTGCTCAAGCGAGCACCATCAGTTCAGTTCCAAGCTCACATTCTCCGAACAGACACTTGACCAACCGGCATTTCAGATAGCTGACTCCCAGAGCTCAACTCACACCCATTTTCAGTTGTAACATAACATGGTGAAGTACGTATAAGCTAAACATGGAAGCCGACTGGGAGTTAGATTCAGACAACGAGGGAAAGCGATGGAGTCTCGGCCCGGCGTTCGACGACGCGGGTCAGCTCTCAGACGACGACCTTCTCACTGACCTCGGGAGTACCGCCGCCATTCGAGGCGGCGATCTTCTCACTGACCTTAACGGTACCGCCATTCGAGACGGCGACCTTACTACGAGCAACCTCGAGAGCACCGCCGTTAGCGGCGGTTTCACTAGTGGTGTCGCCGGAAGAGACGGCCAAAGTAGCGATGCGAGCAACGGCGCGGGGATAAATCGCACGTCGCAGGCCAACGGCGCGTCAAACCTTAACGGCTCGCTAGACTATAACGGGAATAGTGAAAGTTCTGATCGACCTGGAAACGAGGAGGCCTTGCGATCCGCTGGCGGCATAGACGGCGAAGCTGTCAGTCTACGCGCTGCGGACGAGGGGAGGGAGTCCCAGGTCAATTTTGCGCGAGCCAACGGGTCGCGCGACGCCGGGGAGCAGAGCGTGAGGGTAGCTGCGCAGTTGGAAGTCTGCGCGGAGCAGAGCGGGGCTGGCGACGTGGGTGGCAGAAGGGAGGACACAGCAGATGGAACGCATGTAGCGGCAGTTGCGCCTGAATTGGCGCCGCATAGGGAGGAGCGGAGTGCTGAGTCAACAGGGCCGTCAGTGAGTTCACTCGCGCCCGATTTAGCGCCAGAAGAAACGTCCGCCGGAGGATTGGCAAACGGGAGCGGCGAGTGGGTGGGGAAGGAGCCTGCGGAAGGTGTGAGGGAGGCCAATGGTGCAACGGATGCAGACGAGGGGAGACGAGGGCAAGGAAAGAGTGGTAGTGAGGAGAGCAGCGCAGTGAATAGGTCGGGGGAGATTAGGGTCGGTTTGAAGGACATAAAGAGGAGTGGCATGGGGAGTAATGGTGGGAGTGGGAGCTTTGTAGCGAGTGTGAGCGATAGGGGTAGCGGGAGCGGTATTGGTGGCGGTAAACCAAGTGACAAGGGGAGAGCAGTGATTGGAAAGGCGCAGGTGGGAAGTGGAGTGGGGGCGCGGATACAGACGGGCGAGGCGGGGGGAGCGGGAGGAGGGGGAGGGGCAGGGGGAAGGGTAGAAGGGGGATCGGGGCGGATGTCAGTCCGCCAGCAGAGCCCTCGCCCTTCCGCTGCCTTCGCCTCCCCCACACGCTCAGGCCCTGGCACCAGGGGGATAGCACCAGGGGGAGGGGGAAGCGGAGGAGGCGGAACAAGAGGGGCGCAGGGGGTGGTTGGCCGGTCGCCTTCAGAGGAGCGAAGGAGGGCAAACACGGGCAGTCCGGGCAGCAGAGGCAAGTCCGACAGCCCTGCCAGGAGAGGCAGTCCGGGCAGCTTGGGCAGCGTTAAACGACCGGATTGGGCGAGCGGGATTGGCCCGCTGACCAGCAGTTACAGCCCAGAGCTAGCGGGCAGGAAAGCAGGGGGCGGGGGGATGGGGGGTTTGGGTTCTTTATCCCTGGACCGGCATAGCATTGCTGTGACTGGGAGGTGGAGTGATCCCGGGTGGTTGGGCATCAGGGGAAGGGCAGGGGCGCTGGGGGGGGCGCAAGGGGGAGTGCAAGGGGGAGCGCAAGGGAGAGTGCAGGGGGGAGCTTTGGGGGGAGTGCGGGGAACTGTGGGGCAAAGTGCGGAGAGAGCAGTGGTTGCAGGGAAGGGGAGTGGGCGCGTGGGGAGTCCGAGTGGAAGGAGGGATGCAGCGCCAGGAACAGCAGGGGGGAAGGCAGGGGGGAGATTCGAGGGGGCGGATAGGGCGGGTGTGAGTGGCGCAGCAGGGAGGGCCGGGGGAAGTCCTTTGAGACGAAATGGCGCAGCAGGGGGGAAGGCGGAAGAGAGAGCAGGAGGTGTTGGCGGGGGACGAGTAGGTGAGAGAGCAGGCAGTGGGGGCGGGGGTGGGGGACGAATAAGCCCTAGTCGTGTAGGCTCAACAGCGGCATTCGCATCCCCATCACTTGCAGCATCAGCGTCAGTGGCAGGAGGAAATGCGAGTGCAAATGCGAGTGCCCGCAGGCGGATAGCCTTTGGCAGCAGTGTGAGCTTCAACGCGGCTGCCTCGTCATATTCCCCCCCGTCAAGCTCTGTCGCTGCTCCCACTGCCGCCTCTCTTGCCAGGCGAGCCGCCAACCTCCGCTCCCACCTCGCCTCCCTCACCTCCTCCCCCACTTTCACCGCCCCTACTGCTGCCCCTGTTGCTGCCTCTGCCACTCGCGCAACACCTGCTGCTGCCGCTGCCACTGCAGCTGCTGTTGCTGGGGCTGCCACGCGTAGGAGCATGGGTACAGGGAGCAACAGTACCTCTGCATCTCAATCTGCGTCTCACTCTGCTTCTGCCTCTACCTCGGGTTCCGCGCCTGTCTCTGCACACCCCTCTGTTTCCAGCAGCCCAGTCGTTGCCCCAACGCCTGCCCCTTGCGATCCCCCACTGACTGCTTTTGAGGCGCCTCAAAAGTCGTCTCACTCTCAATTTGCCTCTGCCTCTGCCTTGGGTTCTGCACCTGCCTCTGCATACCCCTCTGTCTCCAGCAGCCCTGTCGTTGCCCCAACGCCCGCGCCTTGTGATCCCCCACTGACTGCTGCTGGGGTTCCTCCTGGCATTTATGAGGGTATGCAGGGCGTTTCCCCTGCTGTCAACAGTGCATCCTCATCATCTGATCCCTCCCCTGATGTGGTCAACACCACCAGCACCTTCACTTCTGCTGCTGCTGCTGCTGCTGCTGGTGGTGGTGAATCCAATGCTGCTGTTGCCGGCAGTGATCGAATGGGTGACACTGTGAGTGCTGTAGATAGGGTAGGAAGTGTGGAGTTGGAGGTGGGGAGAGATGAGGGAAGAGAGGAGGAAAGGGAGGAGAGAACAGAGGAGGGAAGAGAGGTGGACGAAAGCGTGGTGGAGGAAAGAGAAGAGGATGAAGGGATGACTCTGCAGGAGATTAGCGGTGACAAGCAGGCGGGGACAAGAGATCAAGACCAAGTAGCAGAGGGATGGGAGAAGGAGGAGGAGGAGGAAGGCGGCAAGACAGACTCGCTAAAGACAGCAGAGAGGTCAACACAAGCAGCAGAAGCCAGTGCTGCGATGCCTAACGCGATTCCCAGCATGCACAGCCTTGTGACAGCACCTGCTGTCACACCAGCAGCTGTAGTGTCATCCGCTGCAGCAGCATCAGCATCAGCATCACCAAGCAAGCCATCACAACAACCAGCGTCTCCAGTACCATCATTGCTATCACCGTCACCATTACCATCACCATCACGGTTATCATCACTGGCAGGGTCAAGAGGAGCATCATCACCAGCAGCAACGGGAGCATCAATGCCAGTATCATCACCAGAACGAGGAGGAGGAGGAGGGGGAGGGAGCTTGGGTGGCAGGGCAAGAGTGTCGCCTAGAGAGCTGCGGGTGATGCCGGGTCCTGATGTGCGCGGCACAGATGACACGGTGGGTGGCAGAGATGACACGGTGGGTGGCAGAGATGACACGGTGGGTGGCAGAGATGACACGGTGGGTGGCAGAGATGACACGGTGGGTGGCAGAGATGACATCCTGCCTCCTCTTTTCCCCAACCCCCTCTGCCTCCCCTCTCCGGCACATTGACCTGTGTTCGCAGCGCATTAGAAGCCGCAAGGCCAACATGCTGCACCTGCACACATCCCCCCTTCACCATCACCCATGTAGCCCCCCCCCATCCCATCTCCCCTTTCCAGCACATTGACCTGCGCTCGCAGCGCATCAGAAGCCTCAAGGCCCACACGCTGCACCTGCACACACATGTGCCGTCGTCCTTCTCCTCTCCTCCCCCCTCCCCTCTCATCATCATCCCTCAGTCCCCTTCTTCAGCGTGTGCTCGCAGCGCATCACAAGCGCCCCCCCTCAGTCCTCTTCTCCTCCTCCCTCCTCTTCTCCTTCCCCCTCCCCTCTCATCCCCATCCCTCAACTCCCCCCTACCAGCGCGTTGACCTGCGGTCGCAGCGCATCAGAAGCCTCAAGGCTGACACCCTGCACCTGCCGCCTTCTCCCCCTACACACATTCCGTAACCGTCCCTCCCTCCCTCCTCCCCTACATCTCCCCTTCCCCCCTCATTCCCCCTCACCAGCGCGTGGACCTGCGGTCGCAGCGCATCACAAGACTCAATTCCCACACGCTGCACCTGCACACACACGTCATCCGCATTCCCCCTTCCCCGTCACCCATGTAACCCCCCCTGATCCCACCTCCCCTCAAATCACCAGCGGGTGGACCTGCGGTCGCAGCGCATCAGAAGCCTCAAGGCAGATACGCTGCACCTGCCGCCTGCTGCTCAGGTGGGCTTGTGGCAGGTGCTGCTCAGGTGCTGCTCAGGTGCTGCTCAGGTGCTGCTCAGGTGTGGGGCAGTGGGCTCACCGTGGCTGAGGCAGGCGCTATAGACTGTGTGGGTGTGCGTGCCTCATGGGGTCGCATGCCTGTTGATGCCCCTGCGCTTCTGATTCTGCTTGTGTGCCCTTATTCGTACCCCCGTTTGCTAACGTCTGCGTGTGCATGTCTGTGTGCGTGTGTGTGCGTGCGTGTGTGTGTGTGCGTGTGTGTGTGTGTGTGTGTGTGTGTGTGTGTGTGTGCGACTGTGTGCATACATATGTGCATGTGTGCTTTCATCCATGTGTGCATGCATGCGTGCATCCATGTCACAGTTTGTGTATCTGAGGGGCAACAAGCTGACAGCAATGGACGGCATCGAGCGTCTCAAGAAGGTCAAGGTGAGTCAACGCTGGTCAAGGTGAGTCAACGCTGGTCAAAGCAAGCTCAAAGCGAGTCAAGGCCAGTGAGTTCAAAGGAAGCTCACAACAATGGACGGCATCGAGCGACTAAAAAAGGTCAAGGAGAGACAACGCTGGTCAAGGTGAGTCAACGCCGGTCAAGGTGAGTCAACAAGGTCAAAGCTGGTAAACAAAGTAAAAAAAGGTGCTAACCATGAGCCACAACTCAGCCCCGTGCGTGCTCTCCCTCCTCTCTCCCCATCCCTGCTTCAAACCCTCCCCTTCCACCCCATCTCCCCCACCGGGCCCTAGACGTGAGCTGCAGCCAGCTGACCTCTCTGTTCCACCACTCCATTCTCTCCAATCTCCCCCCCCGCGGCCTGCCTTCCCCCCACCGCCCCCTTCCCCCTTCATCAGTGCCCGCCTTCCCCCCACCGCCCCCTTCCCCCTCCACCTCCCCAGGTGCTAGACCTGATCTACAGCCAGCTGACCTCACTCTTCCACCTCTCCCTTCTCGGCAATCTCCCCCCCTCCTCCACCACCCCAGGTGCTAGACGTAAGCTACAACCAGCTGGGAGAGGCTTCCCTGGCGCCACTAGCTGCATGCGCGTCCCTGCAGGTGAGTGACAGACAACGGTGAGGAGGATTTGAGTGCGGTGAGAAGGAGTCAGCACGGGGCGTGCACCACACCCACCCCAGGTGCTAGACGTGAGCTACAACCAGCTGGGAGAGGCTTCCCTGGCGTCACTAGCTGCATGCGCGTCCCTGCAGGTGAGTGACAGCGAGGCGGCGGTGAGGAGGAGTTGTGTGCGGTGAGGAGTCACGTGTGGTGAGAAGGAATATTGTGTGGTGAGAAACAGCTGTGTGCGGTGAGAATGAGTGCATCATCCCATTCCTTATGTCCTGGACGTGAGTTACGACCAGCTGCCTCCTTGGCGCTGGTGCTTGATTGTGCCGTCGCGGATGGACTCGTTAAAGGTTGTTTCATCACAAAGCACAGCCCTGTGCTCTCTCAGTCCTGTCCCCACGCCGGGACTGCAGCTCCAGTCCCGAAGCTGGGACACGCGGTGCAGGTGGTGCAGCGTATGAGCGGTCGGTGCAGCGTATGAGCGGGCGGTGCTGTGTTCAACACTCACGCTCACCACTGTGACAAATGCTTCTTCCCCTGCCCCTCTCCTTCTCTCCGAACTCTCTCCCCCTTTCCCACAGCAAGTATTCCTGGGCGGGCAACCACATCGCCTCCCTCGCATCTCTTTTGAGTCAGCTCAGAAGTCCGTCTCCTTTCCCCCTTTCTCCCACTTTCTCCCCCTCCCCCTTTCCCCCAGCAACTATTCCTAGCGGGCAACCACATCTCCTCCCTCACATCTCTTTTGAGTTGACTGAAAAGTTGCTCCTTTCCCCCCATCTCCCCCTCCCTTCTCCCCACCACAGCAACTGTTCCTGGCGGGTAACCACATCTCCTCCCTCGCATCACTGCCTCGACTCCCCTCCCTCGAGGCATGGGTCCTGCTATTTTCCCATGCCCACGCCACACCCACACTACACGCACGCCACACCCACGCCACACCCACGCCATGCCCATACTACTCCCACGCTACTCCCACGCTACTCCCACGCTACTCCCACGCTACTCCCACGCCATGCCCATGCCATGCCTGCTCTTTCCCATGCCATGCCCACGTTCTCCTTACCTTCGTGCCTCCTGCTTCACACTCGTTCCATCCAATGCAACCGTTGCCATGCACACTGTTTCTCTCTCCCCTCCCCATCCCCCTCTCTCCTACCCTCAGCTGCTTCTCTCTCCTCCCACCCCAACCCAACCCCTCTTCACCTCTGTTCCCTCTCTTTCCTTACTCCACCCCATGCTTTCCCCCGTCCGTTCTCCCACCCACCCTGTCACCCATCCACCCTCCCGTCACCCACCCACCCCTCTACCCACTACACCCCTCAGTTTCTCTCAGTGTCTCAGAATTCGCTCTGTCTCATTGACATGCCGTCCCAACCCCGCCTCAAGGTGCGCATCCACAACCTGTCTCAACCGAGCTGAACCGAGCATAGCACAAACACACCCCCCTCCCTACTGCACCCGCCAGTTCCTCTCCTGCCACCAATCTTCCTGTCTCTCTGTTTTCCAATCTGCCCCTCTCTCTGTTTTCCAATCTGCCCCTCTCTCTGTTTTCCAATCTGCCCCTCTCTCTGTTTTCCAATCCGCCCCTCTCTCTGCTTTCCAATTTGCCCCTCTCTCTGTTTTCCAATCCGCCCCTCTCTCTGCTTTCCAATCCGCCCCTCTCTCTGTTTTCTAATCTGCTCCTCTCTTTTCCACCAGGTGCTCACAGCCAGTAGCAACAGCATCGCCTCCTTCGAATCTAGTCGGATTTTGAGAGCCCTCTGAAACCATCTCTCTGCCAATTCGCCTCTTTCTTCTGCCTCTCTTTGCCCACACACAATCTGCCCCCTCCAGGTGGTCACAGCCAGCAGCAACAGCATCGCCTCCTTCGAATCCTTCCCCCTCCTGCCCGCTCTGGAGGTCCGTGCCCCACCTTGCCCCACCTTGCCCCACCTTGCCCCACCTTGCCCCACCTTGCCCCACCTTGCCCCACCTTGCCCCACCTTGCCCCACCTTGCCCCACCTTGCCCCACCTTGCCCCACCTTGCCCCACCTTGCCCCACCTTGCCCCACCTTGCCCCACCTTGCCCCACCTTGACCCACCTTGACCCACCTTTCCCCACCTTGACCCACCTTTTTCCCACCTTGACCCACCTTTTTCCCACCTTGACCCACCTTGCCCTTCTTACCCGCCCTAGAGGCCCCTGCCCCACCTTGCCCGCCTACCTATCCATGCTCCGAGTGCCATGCCCTCTGAGCCCTGTGCCCCATGCTCCATGTACCCGTGTTCCATGCCCTTTGTGCTCTTTGCTCCGTGCCATGCAACTCTCCACCCCCTAGAGGACGCCCCTGCTCCCCCCATAGAGGGTAGCTGAGAGGGGCAGCGCCAATAAGCCTCTCCTTCGCTCCCTCCCTTTCCCCCTTCTCCTGCGCCCAACTAACAGCACCTGCGTCTGGACGACAACCCAATAGAGGACGTCCCTGCTCCCTCCATAAGGGATAATTGTGAGGGGCAGAGCCAGCGAACCTTCCTCTTCTACCTCCCTCTCCCCCCCCCACCAACTAACAGCACCTGCAACTGGATGACAACCCCATAGAGGACGCCCCTGCTCTCCTAATCGAGGAGAACAGTGAGGGGCCTCAGCCTTGTTCTCCTTCACCCTTTCCCTCTTTACCCCCCTTCAGCACCTGCGTCTGGACGACAACCCAATAGAGGACGCCCCTGCTCCGCACTTGGCTGCCATTCTGCTCGCCGCCTCCTCTCTTCTCTCCTTCAACTCCTCAGGTGCCTCCTCCTCCTCCCTGCTCTCCTTATCCTGCAGGGTGTTTTTGAGAATTCTCAAAAACATCCTCCTCCCTGCTCTCCTCACCTTCCTTGTCTTGTATCCCTCCCCTCCTTGTATTTATTCTCAGACATAAATGCAGCAGCTTGTGCTTCATGTTTGCGCGTGCGCACCTCTGCATGTGTGCGCGCCTCTGCATGTGTGCGCGCCTCTGCATGTGTGCGCGCCTCTGCATGTGTGTGCGCCTCTGCATGTGTGCGCGCCTCTGCATGTGTGCGCTTCTGTGTGCCTGTGTGTGTGCGTGCATGCGTGCATGTCTCTGTGTGTTTACCCGTGGATGTGCGCACGCGCATGCATGCATGCATGTGTGTGTGAGCAGCTATAAGTGATGATGAGCGTTTAGCAGTGGAAGAAGCGGGGGGAGGGCACGGGCCCATGTGTGTGCGCATGGGATGGCTGCCTCCGTCCCCTTCCATTAGCGACATACCAGGTACCACCTGTGGTGGGTGAATGGCGCTTGCAGGCTCACAAGGTGGGGTTGGGAGGGGAGGGCACGGGCCCATGTGTGTGCATGGGGTGGCCGCCGCCGTCCCCTCTAATTGATGTCATACCAGGTAGGTACCACCTATGTCTCTGCTCCTCACAGCAATTGCTTGCTACAGGTGCCCACATGTGTGGGGGGAGGGCACGGGCCCATGTGTGTGCGCATGGGATGGCTACCACCACCTCTTCCTCTGCTCCTCACCTCACCCACCCCTGCCCCTCGTGTAATGAGTCGAGTTTTGAGTCGACTCAAAACCGGGCCCATGTGTGTGCGCATGGGATGGCTACCACCTCTTCCTCTGCTCCTCACCCACCCCTGCCCCTCCCCTTGCCCCTGCACCTCCACCTGTTCCTACCACTGTCCCTGCCCTCACATTCATCTGGCCCCCCTCCCCCCTCCCCCCTCTCGTCTCTCACCTTCCCACTCCCCATTCCCCCTTCCCCTCTCCCTCGTTCCCTCCTCCCTTCTTCCCTCTCCCCACTTCCCCAGCCTCCCTGGTGTCTTTCCTGGCGGCCCACTGGGCACCCATGCTCCCTGCCGGCTACACCCTTTGCCTCGCTGCTGCTGGACCGCCCCATACCTTTTCAATCCCTCAACTGTGTGTGCCTGCCCTGTGTCTCCGTTCCCCCCCCACCTCCCCCTGTCCTCCCAGCCTCCCTGGTGACCTTTCTCGCCACCCACTGGGCATCAACGCTTCCTGCCGGCTTCACCCTCTCGTCGCTGCTGCTCGACCGGCCCATAGAGGACCGCCCCTGCCACTGCCGCCTGCTGCTGCAGCGCACTGGTGGTGGTGCACGGGCGAGGGAGGATGGGGAGGAGGATTGGGGCGAGGATGGGGTGAAAGATGGGGGGCAGGATGGGGGGAAGGATGGGGGGAAGGATGGGGGGAAGGATGGGGGGAAGGATGGGGGGAAGGATGGGGGGAAGGATGGGGGGAAGGATGGGGGACCAGATAGGGAGGAGGTTGTGGGTGAGGATGTGGGAGTTGAAGAGAGAGAGGAGGGAGTTGGGCCAAGGGAGAGGGGAAAGGAGAGGGAGGGAGGGGAGGAGGAATCATCAGTGTCATCGGGTGTGGCGATGCGGTATGAGTGGCTGCGGCGGGGCAAAGGGGCTGCGGAGTTCAGCGCCATTCCCGATGCTGAGGGGGAGGTGAGGAGGCATCTTTGAAAAATTTCAGGGCGATAAGAAAGTGGGAGGGCCATGTGTTCTCTTTCGCCACTGCCCACCCTCCCACCCTTTGGGCCACCATAGCCATTGCTATATCCTGCTCATCACAACCACTGCTACACTACACTGGCCTTGGCCCACAACATTCATCAAATCCCAACCCATCTCACTACACACACCCCTTCTCAGATGTGCATGCATGCCTTGCTGTGCGGTGCACCTTTTGCCTCCATGCCTTGTCGTATTTCTCAATAAGCTTACTGTCCACCCTCTCTCATCTCATCCCACCAGATGTACACGCCCTCCTTCTCAGACGTGCGCGTGTCACTCACCGTCCGTCCTTCCCACACCCGTCCCTCCATCCCACCACCCTGTCGCCCATCCCACCACCCTGTCGCCCATCCCACCACCCTGTCGCCCATCCCACCACCCTGTCGCCCATCCCACCACCCTGTCGCCCATCCCACCACCCTGTCGCCCATCCCACCACCCTGTCGCCCATCTCACCACCCTGTCGCCCATCTCACCACCCTGTCGCCCATCCCACCACCCTGTCGCCCATCTCACCAGGTCTACACGCCCTCCTTCTCAGACGTGCATGCGTGTCTCGCTGTGCGCTGCACCCCGCTGCTCCACGGCCAGCCCTGCACGCCCCTTATCCTCACCACGCCGCTGGTCGTCCCTGGTAGGTCCCCTCTCCCACTCCCAGGGGTTGTGTTTTCTCAGACGTGCATGCGTGTCTCGCTGTGTGCTGCACCCCGCTGCTCCACGGCCACCCCTGCACGCCACTCCTCCTCACCTCTCCACCAGTCGCCCCTGGTACGTTCCCTCTCCCACCCACTCCCATGAGGAGGTGTGTGTTCCCACTACCACGGCCAGCCCTGCACGCCACTCCTCCTCACCACGCCGCCAGTCATCCCTGGTATGTTCCCAATTCAACACCAGAGACGACCAGTGTATGTATGTGCCATGCTGTGAGGTCGTGTGGTGTCTCGCTGTGCGCTGCACCCCGCTGCTCCACGCCCAGCCCTGCACGCCCCTCCTCCTCACCACGCCGCCAGTGGCCCCTGGTAGGTGAATACCCCTCACCTCACCCATGCACCCATGCACTTATGCACCATGCATCCATGGTCCCATGCACATGCATTCCTGCACACAGGTCCCGGCATTCCGCGAGTGCAGCATGTGTCGCTGGGATGAGCAGGTGACCATGAGCGGGTCACCATGTCCATGAGCGTCACCTATGGGAGGGGAGGCGGTGGAGGGGGGTGTGCTGACTGCTGCTGTATGTGTATTTGTGTGTTTGTGCTTGCGCATGTGTGTGTGTGCTTGCGCATGTGTGTGTGTGCTTGCGCATCTGTGTGTGTGCTTGCGCATCTGTGTGTGTGCTTGCGCATCTGTGTGTGTGCTTGCGCATCTGTGTGTGTGCTTGCGCATCTGTGTGTGTGCTTGCGCATCTGTGTTTGTGCTTGCGCATCTGTGTTTGTGCTTGCGCATCTGTGTTTGTGCTTGCGCATCTGTGTGTGTGCTTGCGCATCTGTGTGTGTGCTTGCGCATCTGTGTTTGTGCTTGCGCATCTGTGTGTGTGCTTGCGCATCTGTGTGTGTGCTTGCGCATCTGTGTGTGTGCTTGCGCATCTGTGTGTGTGCTTGCGCATCTGTGTGTGTGCTTGCGCATCTGTGTGTGTGCTTGCGCATCTGTGTTTGTGCTTGCGCATCTGTGTTTGTGCTTGCGCATCTGTGTGTGTGCTTGCGCATCTGTGTTTGAACCTCTCACGCCTGACGGCCTCCATGCAACCATGCCCCCACACAGGTCCCGGCATCCCGCAAGTGCAGCACATGTTGCTGGGAGGGGAGGTGGTGGAGCCTACGTGTGGGTGTGCACATGTGTGTTTGAATCTCTCATGACTGACTGCCTCCCTTCATTATGCTCCCACAGAGGTCCCGGCATACCACGAGTGCACCATGTGTCGCTGGGCGGCGGTGGAGGGGGGCTTGGCGAGGAGACTGTGTGTGTGTGTGTGTTCTCGTCTCAGCTGATGTGTGTTTATCTTGCATGAATGCATGTGTGTGTGTGCATCCATGCAGGCCCGGGCATACCACGAGTGCACCATGTGTCGCTGGGAGGGGAGGCGGTGGAGGGGGGCGTGCTGACTGCCATGGTGGAGGTGGGGTGGAGCTCGGGCGAGCCAGGGCCGTGCCAGTACAGGTGAGAAGGAGGGAGAGGGTTGCCCATGCCAGTACAGGTGCGAGTGATAGAGAGGATACCCAGCCTTTGACTGCCAAGGTGGAGTATTGAGCACAGATCTTTAGGGGTGTGAGGGCGGTGTGCTGCTGACAGCCATGGTGGAGGTGGGGTGGAGCTCGGGTGAGCCAGGGCCGTGCCAGTACAGGTGGGAGGGGGGCCATGCCAGTACAGGTGCTAGCTAGGACAGTGCAGTGCAGTAAAACCTCCAAGATGCTTCAAGATTCTCCCTCTCGGTTGCCCCTCCCCTAGGCTTTTTCTCCTTCGTTGCACTTTCCCTACCCACCCACCCAACCTTACCCTGCGCTTGTTCTCGCCCCCTCCCCTGTCCCTCCCAAACCAACGCCTCCTCTTCCTCCTTCTCTACACCCCTCCTCCCATCCCCACCCCCCACCTGTCAGCTGGACCCGCTTGGCACCCACAGCTCAGGGCGGGACAACAAGGGAGGAGGTGCAGAGGGGTGGGGAGGAGTACTCCCTCTCACTGCACGACGTGGGGTGTGTGCTGCAGCTCGCCTTCACCCCGGTGTCTGCTGCAGGGGTGAGGGGGGAACCCGCCTCCGCCACCTCTCCCCCCATTGCTGCCGGTGAGAATGGGTGCAGAGGGGTGGGGAGCGGTGGGTGTGTGCTGCAGCTCGCCTTCACCCCGGTGTCTGCTGCAGGGGTGAGGGGGGAACCCGCCTCTGCCACCTCTCCCCCCATTGCTGCTGGTGAGAGTGGCTGCTTGGTGAGAGTGGCTGCTTGGTGGAGTGGGCGCAGAGGAGTGCTGCTGGGGGATCTTATGCCTATGATAGCTCACTTTCGCCCCACTCTTATCCCCATGCTTCCCCCCATGCTTCCCTCCACGCTTCCCCCCACGCCCTTCCCCCTCCCCCCTCCAGCGCCCCCCCAGGTGCAGCAGGTGGCGGTGGAGGGGGAAGCACTGCTGGGGGGAGCGCTGCGGGCGAGTCTATGCTTATTTATGCCGGCTCATCTCCTTCCCCTTCCCCCTCCCTCTCTTCCTTCTTTCTCCAGCGCCCCCCCAGGTGCAGCAGGTGGTGGTGGAGGGGGAGGCGCTGCTGGGGGGAGTGCTGCAGGTGATGCTATACCTATGCGGGCTCACTCTCTCCCCATGCTCCCCCCCATGCTTCCCCCCCGTTTCCCTCTACGCCCTTCCCCCTCCCCCCATCCAGCGCCCCCCCAGGTGCAGCAGGTGGCAGTGGAGGGGGAGGCGCTGCTGGGGGGAGTGCTGCGGGCGAGGGGAACTTATTTTGGGGGAGCAGAGGGGGCGAGTTTGCTGCAGTGGTTCCGGGAGGAGGGGGGGAAGGCGGAGGGGGGGTTGGAGGAGGGGGGGAAGGCGGAGGGGGGGTTGGAGGAGGGGGAAGACGGAAGGAGTGCGGCCGGTGCTGGTAGCAACAGTGGTCGTTTGCGGTGAGTGAGTGGGGCGTGGGTGGTGCTGGGGTGTTATGGGTGCTGCTGGGGTGTTATGGGTGGTGCTGGGGTGTTATGGGTGGTGCTGGGGTGGTATGAGTGGTGTGAGGGGGTGTGGTGTTGTTTGGTGAGGTGCAACCCTCTCCATCCACTCTTCCCACCACCCTCTCTCCTTTCCCCTCCTCAGACTAGTGCCAGTGGGCGAGGGCAGAGAGTACGCAGTGCAGGCGGACGATGTGGGCTGCTACCTGCTGCTGCGCTACACGCCAGTCGCCTCCTCAGGTGATGCACAGCATACACATGGGTTGTGCTGCTGGTGCTGTGTGCTGCTGCGCTACACACCGCTCGCCTTCAAATAATTTCATGTGGTTCCAGGTGGTTCCATCCAGGTCATTCGTCCCTCATCCCACTGCATCGGGTTTCTGCATGCATTTCTCGTCTCAACAACCCCTTGTCAGTTACCCCTTGTCACCTCATCCCACTCCTCATCACCGCATCTCTGTACCACTGAGCAGGTCTGATCGGAGAGCCAGTCACAGCGCGCTCGCCTATCATCTGCCTCCGTACGTGCCCTTCCCTCCCTTTGCTTCCCTTCACTTCCTGCCCTGCCTTTCCCAGCCTTTTCCATCCCATCCTTGCCTTCCCGTCCCTTCCTGTCCTGCCTTTCCTTGCCATTCCCCTCTGTTTTCGTCCCCTGCTTTCCCTTGCCTTCCCTTTTCCTGGTTTTCCCTACCTCGCCCTACTCTGTCGGGTACATGGGCAAACGAGTCTAGTTTTTCCTCGACTCGTTTGAGGGACTCAAAAAGCTTGAGTTTCAAGTTCGTGTTTTTGGCAAAAAAACTCGGCCGAGTCGAGTTTTACTTCCGAGGTACAAAAAACTCATGAAAAAACTCGGATTTTTTTAGACTCGCGGGATTTATGTATCGTATGCGAGTCTTAAACAAACTCACGCGTCAAATGTCCCACCAGAGGTGGGGTACAAATGCCAGAATTTTCAAAAATTCAGATCTGGTTTTCCTCCTTTCCAGATCTGAGAAGTAGTACCATTTTTTTTTTGTTGTTTCTAGGAGGTCTACGCAACCTAGTTCAGTCCAATCATCCTTCGTTTTCTTCTTAAGGTAAATTGCGTTTTGTCGGGTTGAAGTTGGGTGGAAGGACAATACCACCCGCATCCAAACCTGCACCTCAAACCTGCACCTCAAACCTGCACCTCAAACCTGCACCACAAACCTGCACGTCAAACCTGCACCTCAAACCTGCACCTCAAACCTGGACCTCAAACCTGCACGTCAAACCTGCACCTCAAACCTGCACCTCAAACCGGCACCTCAAACCTGCACCTCAAACCTGCACCTCAAACCTGCACGTCAAACCTGCACCTCAAACCTGCACCTCAAACCTGCACCTCAAACCTGCTCGTCAAACCTGCACCTCAAACCTGCACCTCAAACCTGCACCTCAAACCTGCACCTCAAACCTGCACCTCAAACCTGCACCTCAAACCTGCACCTCCAACCTGCACCTCAAACCTGCACCTCCAACCTGCACCTCAAACCTGCACCTCAAACCTGCACCTCCAACCTGCACCTCAAACCTGCACATCCAACCTGCACCTCCAACCTGCACCTCAAACCTGCACCTCCAACCTGCACCTCAAACCTGCACCTCCAACCTGCACCTCCAGCCTGCACCTCAAACCTGGACCTCAAACCTGCACCTCCAACCTGCACCTCAAACCTGCACGTCAAACCTGCACCTCAAACCTGCACCTCCAACCTGCACCTCAAACCTGCACCTCAAGCCTGCACCTCAAACCTGCACCTCAAACCTGCACCTCAAACCTGCACCTCCAACCTGCACCTCAAACCTGCACCTCCAACCTGCACCTCCAACCTGCACCTCAAACCTGCACCTCCAACCTGCACCTCAAACCTGGACCTCCAACCTGCACCTCAAACCTGCACCTCAAACCTGCACCTCAAACCTGCTCGTCAAACCTGCACCTCAAACCTGCACCTCAAACCTGCACCTCAAACCTGCACCTCAAACCTGCACCTCAAACCTGCACCTCCAACCTGCACCTCAAACCTGCACCTCCAACCTGCACCTCAAACCTGCACCTCAAACCTGCACCTCCAACCTGCACCTCAAACCTGCACCTCCAACCTGCACCTCCAACCTGCACCTCAAACCTGCACCTCCAACCTGCACCTCAAACCTGCACCTCCAACCTGCACCTCCAGCCTGCACCTCAAACCTGCACCTCAAACCTGCACCTCCAACCTGCACCTCAAACCTGCACGTCAAACCTGCACCTCAAACCTGCACCTCCAACCTGCACGTCAAACCTGCACCTCAAGCCTGCACCTCAAACCTGCACCTCAAACCTGCACCTCAAACCTGCACCTCCAACCTGCACCTCCAACCTGCACCTCAAACCTGCACCTCCAACCTGCACCTCAAACCTGCACCTCCAACCTGCACCTCCAGCCTGCACCTCAAACCTGCACCTCAAACCTGCACCTCCAACCTGCACCTCAAACCTGCACGTCAAACCTGCACCTCAAACCTGCACCTCCAACCTGCACCTCAAACCTGCACCTCAAGCCTGCACCTCAAACCTGCACCTCAAACCTGCACCTCAAACCTGCACCTCCAACCTGCACCTCAAACCTGCACCTCCAACCTGCACCTCCAACCTGCACCTCAAACCTGCACCTCCAACCTGCACCTCAAACCTGCACCTCCAACCTGCACCTCAAACCTGCACCTCCAACCTGCACCTCCAGCCTGCACCTCAAGCCTGCACCTCAAACCTGCACCTCAAACCTGCACCTCAAACCTGCACCTCAAACCTGCACGTCAAACCTGCACGTCAAACCTGCACCTCCAACCTGCACCTCAAACCTGCACCTCAAACCTGCACCTCAAACCTGCACCTCAAACCTGCACCTCAAACCTGCACCTCAAACCTGCACCTCCAACCTGCACCTCAAACCTGCACCTCCAACCTGCACCTCCAGTCTGCACCTCAAACCTGCACCTCAAACCTGCACCTCCAACCTGCACCTCAAACCTGCACGTCAAACCTGCACCTCAAACCTGCACCTCAAACCTGCACCTCAAACCTGCACCTCAAACCTGCACCTCAAACCTGCACCTCAAACCTGCACGTCAAACCTGCACGTCAAACCTGCACCTCCAACCTGCACCTCAAACCTGCACCTCAAGCCTGCACCTCAAACCTGCACCTCAAACCTGCACCTCAAACCTGCACCTCAAACCTGCACCTCAAACCTGCACCTCAAACCTGCACGTCAAACCTGCACGTCAAACCTGCACCTCCAACCTGCACCTCAAACCTGCACCTCAAGCCTGCACCTCAAACCTGCACCTCAAACCTGCACCTCAAACCGACACCTCAAACCTGCACCTCAAACCTGCACCTCAAACCTGCACGTCAAACCTGCACGTCAAACCTGCACCTCCAACCTGCACCTCCAACCTGGACCTCAAACCTGCACCTCAAGCCTGCACCTCAAACCTGCACCTCAAACCTGCACGTCAAACCTGCACGTCAAACCTGCACCTCCAACCTGCACCTCAAACCTGCACCTCAAGCCTGCACCTCAAACCTGCACCTCAAACCTGCACCTCAAACCTGCACCTCAAACCTGCACCTCAAACCTGCACCTCAAACCTGCATGTCAAACCTGCACCTCCAACCTGCACCTCCAACCTGGACCTCAAACCTGCACGTCAAACCTGCACCTCCAACCTGCACCTCAAACCTGCACCTCAAACCTGCACCTCCAACCTGCACCTCAAACCTGCACCTCAAACCTGCACCTCAAACCTGCACCTCAAACCTGCACGTCAAACCTGCACGTCAAACCTGCACGTCAAACCTGCACCTCCAACCTGCACCTCCAACCTGGACCTCAAACCTGCACCTCAAGCCTGCACCTCAAACCTGCACCTCAAACCTGCACCTCAAATCTGCACCTCAAGCCTGCACCTCAAACCTGCACCTCAAACCTGCACCTCAAACCTGCACCTCCAACCTGCACCTCAAACCTGCACCTCAAACCTGCAACTCAAACCTGCACGTCAAACCTGCACGTCAAACCTGCACCTCAAACCTGCACTTCCAACCTGCACCTCACCATCAGCCCTACCCCATGGCAGCGACGTGGCGATGAGGGGCCACTGGTGGAGGGAGGAGAGGTACGGACGGGTGGAAGGCGGGGAGGTGCGGGTGCGGGCACGGTTGCAATGGGCAGAGGAGGGGCACAGCGTGGGAGAATGGCTCTTCACACTCACAGCCCCTCTTCCCTCTTTCGCACTCCCTTTCCTCCCCACCCATCCTCCACCAGCGCTGCCGCGGGCGAGCGATTTGGCGATTGAGGGGCCGCTGGTGGAGGGTGGGGAGGTGCGGGTGCGAGTGCGGTTGCAATGGGCCGAGGAGGGGCGCAGCGAGGTGGAGTGGTTCTTCACTCACACGCCCCACTCCCTTTCAACTGCGGACCTTCAGCCCATCACTGCTGAGACCCCCAACTCCATGGTGAGTGCAATGGGGTGTGGTGCAGCCCAGTGGGGTGCAGTGCGGTGGGTGGCTTGGTTCTTCACTCACACACTGCACTCCCTTTTAACTTCGAATCTGCAACCCATCATCTCTGAAACACCCAACTCCATGGTGAGTGCCAGGAGCCGCAACAAGGGGGTGCAGGGGGCGGAGAAGGGAGGGATCTGAGGGGCCTCAAGAGGAGGGGCCTCAAGAGGAGGGGCCTCAAGAGGAGGGGCCTCAAGAGGAGGGGCCCAGTGAGGTGGAATGGTTCTTCACCCACACGCCCCACTTCCTTTCCACTTTCTCTCCCTCCGTCCAACCTAGGCATGGGCATCTGGCCCGACCCGGCCCGACCCGTCCCGTTTAGGGCGACCCGTTAGCTTAACGGGTCGGGTCGGGTCGGGTTAGCGGGTCGGGTTTGACTCTGTTTTGGTGACCCGACCCGCCCCGTTGGAACGGGTATTTGTGACCCGTAACCGGGTCGGTTACACCACGGGTCGGGTCGGGTCGGATCAAAACATGCTACATAGCAGCAGGGTATGGTGGCGCCTTGGCGCTGCTCCAGGTGGCGTTCGCGATGCTGGAGGTGGAGACCGCGATTCTGGCTGGTGGCGTTCGCGCTACTGCAAGGCCGCTATCGCGCTATTGCGGGGATGCGATCCCGCCAATGCGTGGCCGCGATCGCGCTGCCCTAATGTGGTGCCGCGATCGCGCTGCGCAAATGCGGGGCCGAGATCGCGCTATTGCGGGGACACGATCCTGCCAATGCGTGGCCGCGATCCTGCCAATGCGTGGCCGCGAGTGCGCTGCTGCGCCCCTGGTCGTGCGACACTGCGTAATGGCAGGAGCGCCTATGCCTATAATGAATATAAATATTAAAATAGTGCTAACATTGAAGTGAAGACTGTAAGAGTTTTGGTAGGTGCAGTGGAGATTTACTAACTTGATTAGAGACTGGATCTGAATGTCGAGGGAAACAAAACATCAAAACCAACTGATGTTTCCCCCCTCTCCAAATTGTACCCTAAGCAGAGAACGGGTCGGGTAACCCTGTCATTTGACTGGGTATGCGACCCGGACGGGACGGGTCAACCCGACCCGGCGGGTCGCTGATACCCGTCTATAAGTCACATTGACGGGTCACGGGTCGACCCGACCCGCCCGGGTAAACCCGACCCGACCCGGACGGGTCGACATTCTCAGCATTCCTGACCCGACCCGCCATTTTAGGCGGGTCGGGTCGGGTAACCCGACCCGTCCGGGCCAAATGCCCATCCCTAGTCCAACCACCTATAATCCCACCAGGCCCTCACAGTGCCTCTGGAGGCCATGGGGTCGCACGGGGCAGTGCGGCTGGTGCCAGAGTCTGATGCGGGATTGGATTATCAGCTTCGAGATCCCTTCTCTCCTTTCCCCCTTCTGGCCCCTTTCGTTGGTCGTTTCTCTAACCCCATCAGGCCCTCACAGTGCCTCTGGAGGCCATAGGGTCGCACCTGGCAGTGCGGCTGGTGCCGGTGCGGGCAGATGGGGTCAAGGGCAGGCCTGTGGTCGCCGTGTCCTCTGCTGCAGTCACAGGTGTGTGAATGGTAGGCCTGTGTACTAGTGCAGTGCGGTCACAGGTGTGTGAATGGTAGGCCTGTGTACTAGTGCAGTGCGGTCACAGGTGGGTGAATGGTAGGCCTGTGTACTAGTGCAGTGCGGTCACAGGTGGGTGAATGGTAGGCCTGTGTACTAGTGCAGTGCGGTCACAGGTGTGTGAATGGTAGGCCTGTGTACTAGTGCAGTGCGGTCACAGGTGTGTGAATGGTAGGCCTGTGTACTAGTGCAGTGCGGTCACAGGTGGGTGAATGGTAGGCCTGTGTACTAGTGCAGTGCGGTCACAGGTGGGTGAATGGTAGGCCTGTGTACTAGTGCAGTGCGGTCACAGGTGGGTGAATGGTAGGCCTGTGTACTAGTGCAGTGCGGTCACAGGTGGGTGAATGGTAGGCCTGTGTACTAGTGCAGTGCGGTCACAGGTGGGTGAATGGTAGGCCTGTGTACTAGTGCAGTGCGGTCACAGGTGGGTGAATGGTAGGCCTGTCTACTAGTGCAGTGCGGTCACAGGTGTGTGAATGGTAGGCCTGTGTACTAGTGCAGTGCGGTCACAGGTGGGTGAATGGTAGGCCTGTGTACTAGTGCAGTGCGGTCACAGGTGTGTGAATGGTAGGCCTGTGTACTAGTGCAGTGCGGTCACAGGTGTGTGAATGGTAGGCCTGTGTACTAGTGCAGTGCGGTCACAGGTGTGTGAATGGTAGGCCTGTGTACTAGTGCAGTGCGGTCACAGGTGTGTGAATGGTAGGCCTGTGTACTAGTGCAGTGCGGTCACAGGTGTGTGAATGGTAGGCCTGTGTACTAGTGCAGTGCGGTCACAGGTGTGTGAATGGTAGGCCTGTGTACTAGTGCAGTGCGGTCACAGGTGGGTGAATGGTAGGCCTGTGTACTAGTGCAGTGCGGTCACAGGTGTGTGAATGGTAGGCCTGTGTACTAGTGCAGTGCGGTCACAGGTGTGTGAATGGTAGGCCTGTGTACTAGTGCAGTGCGGTCACAGGTGTGTGAATGGTAGGCCTGTGTACTAGTGCAGTGCGGTCACAGGTGGGTGAATGGTAGGCCTGTGTACTAGTGCAGTGCGGTCACAGGTGTGTGAATGGTAGGCCTGTGTACTAGTGCAGTGCGGTCACAGGTGTGTGAATGGTAGGCCTGTGTACTAGTGCAGTGCGGTCACAGGTGGGTGAATGGTAGGCCTGTGTACTAGTGCAGTGCGGTCACAGGTGTGTGAATGGTAGGCCTGTGTACTAGTGCAGTGCGGTCACAGGTGGGTGAATGGTAGGCCTGTGTACTAGTGCAGTGCGGTCACAGGTGTGTGAATGGTAGGCCTGTGTACTAGTGCAGTGCGGTCACAGGTGTGTGAATGGTAGGCCTGTGTACTAGTGCAGTGCGGTCACAGGTGTGTGAATGGTAGGCCTGTGTACTAGTGCAGTGCGGTCACAGGTGGGTGAATGGTAGGCCTGTGTACTAGTGCAGTGCGGTCACAGGTGTGTGAATGGTAGGCCTGTGTACTAGTGCAGTGCGGTCACAGGTGTGTGAATGGTAGGCCTGTGTACTAGTGCAGTGCGGTCACAGGTGTGTGAATGGTAGGCCTGTGTACTAGTGCAGTGCGGTCACAGGTGTGTGAATGGTAGGCCTGTGTACTAGTGCAGTGCGGTCACAGGTGTGTGAATGGTAGGCCTGTGTACTAGTGCAGTGCGGTCACAGGTGTGTGAATGGTAGGCCTGTGTACTAGTGCAGTGCGGTCACAGGTGGGTGAATGGTAGGCCTGTGTACTAGTGCTGTGCGGTCACAGGTGTGTGAATGGTAGGCCTGTGTACTAGTGCAGTGCGGTCACAGGTGTGTGAATGGTAGGCCTGTGTACTAGTGCAGTGCGGTCACAGGTGGGTGAATGGTAGGCCTGTGTACTAGTGCAGTGCGGTCACAGGTGGGTGAATGGTAGGCCTGTGTACTAGTGCAGTGCGGTCACAGGTGGGTGAATGGTAGGCCTGTGTACTAGTGCAGTGCGGTCACAGGTGGGTGAATGGTAGGCCTGTGTACTAGTGCAGTGCGGTCACAGGTGTGTGAATGGTAGGCCTGTGTACTAGTGCAGTGCGGTCACAGGTGGGTGAATGGTAGGCCTGTGTACTAGTGCAGTGCGGTCACAGGTGGGTGAATGGTAGGCCTGTGTACTAGTGCAGTGCGGTCACAGGTGTGTGAATGGTAGGCCTGTGTACTAGTGCAGTGCGGTCACAGGTGGGTGAATGGTAGGCCTGTGTACTAGTGCAGTGCGGTCACAGGTGTGTGAATGGTAGGCCTGTGTACTAGTGCAGTGCGGTCACAGGTGGGTGAATGGTAGGCCTGTGTACTAGTGCAGTGCGGTCACAGGTGGGTGAATGGTAGGCCTGTGTACTAGTGCAGTGCGGTCACAGGTGTGTGAATGGTAGGCCTGTGTACTAGTGCAGTGCGGTCACAGGTGTGTGAATGGTAGGCCTGTGTACTAGTGCAGTGCGGTCACAGGTGGGTGAATGGTAGGCCTGTGTACTAGTGCAGTGCGGTCACAGGTGGGTGAATGGTAGGCCTGTGTACTAGTGCAGTGCGGTCACAGGTGTGTGAATGGTAGGCCTGTGTACTAGTGCAGTGCGGTCACAGGTGGGTGAATGGTAGGCCTGTGTACTAGTGCAGTGCGGTCACAGGTGGGTGAATGGTAGGCCTGTGTACTAGTGCAGTGCGGTCACAGGTGGGTGAATGGTAGGCCTGTGTACTAGTGCAGTGCGGTCACAGGTGTGTGAATGGTAGGCCTGTGTACTAGTGCAGTGCGGTCACAGGTGTGTGAATGGTAGGCCTGTGTACTAGTGCAGTGCGGTCACAGGTGGGTGAATGGTAGGCCTGTGTACTAGTGCAGTGCGGTCACAGGTGGGTGAATGGTAGGCCTGTGTACTAGTGCAGTGCGGTCACAGGTGTGTGAATGGTAGGCCTGTGTACTAGTGCAGTGCGGTCACAGGTGGGTGAATGGTAGGCCTGTGTACTAGTGCAGTGCGGTCACAGGTGGGTGAATGGTAGGCCTGTGTACTAGTGCAGTGCGGTCACAGGTGTGTGAATGGTAGGCCTGTGTACTAGTGCAGTGCGGTCACAGGTGTGTGAATGGTAGGCCTGTGTACTAGTGCAGTGCGGTCACAGGTGTGTGAATGGTAGGCCTGTGTACTAGTGCAGTGCGGTCACAGGTGGGTGAATGGTAGGCCTGTGTACTAGTGCAGTGCGGTCACAGGTGTGTGAATGGTAGGCCTGTGTACTAGTGCAGTGCGGTCACAGGTGTGTGAATGGTAGGCCTGTGTACTAGTGCAGTGCGGTCACAGGTGGGTGAATGGTAGGCCTGTGTACTAGTGCAGTGCGGTCACAGGTGTGTGAATGGTAGGCCTGTGTACTAGTGCAGTGCGGTCACAGGTGGGTGAATGGTAGGCCTGTGTACTAGTGCAGTGCGGTCACAGGTGTGTGAATGGTAGGCCTGTGTACTAGTGCAGTGCGGTCACAGGTGGGCGCGTGGATGGCATGACCGGTTGGTGCCAGTGAGGGCAGATGGCGTCAAGTGTCGCCCCTTGACCTTGGTGGCCGGTGGCCGTGTCCTCTGCTGGGACAGGCTTCAGATTCACTCTTTTCCCTGCTCTGCATTGCCCTCCCCTGCACTGCATTGCCCTCCCCTGCACTGCATTGCCCTTCACTGCACTGCATTGCCCTTCCCTGCACTGCATTGCCCTTCACTGCACTGCATTGCCCTTCCCTGCTCTGCATTGCCCTTCCCTGCACTGCATTGCCCTTCCCTGCTCCTTCTACCCTCTCTCCTCCCGCCCAGAGGGCGAGCCGCAGGTGCTGAGTGCGGACATGGAGGGGGAGGAGGAGGAGGGGGGTGTGCTGGTGGGGTATTACACGTACCAGGGAGGGGCCGAGGGGGACTCGCTGCTCGAGTGGTACCGATATGCGGTGAGTGGCATTGAAATGCGGTGAGCAGTGGGGAAATGCGGTGGGCAGTGGTGTAATGCGGTGAGCAGTAGCGAAAATGCAGTGATTGACAGCACTTCCCCTTTTCCCAGCCACCACCTTCTAAGTTCCAACCACCCAACCACCCACCCCCCCTCTCTGCCGCCCAGGACGAGGATGGCCAGCCGGGGCCACACGGCGAGTTGGTAGAAGACGAGGACGGCGAGCAGCCGCGGATGGCAGGGGGCGGCATGAGTCGGCATGTTCCGTCCGCTAGCGACGTGGGCTGCTTCCTCTCCTTCCGCGTCACCCCTGTGCGATCCGACGGGGCGGTCGGCACCCCCCAGGCTGTCTGCACGGCCGGCCCGATCCGGGCGGCGCTGCCGTCCGTTAGTGACGTGTGGGTGGAGGGCGATCTGGTGGAGGGCGGGCGGCTGGTGCCCAGGTGGACGTATGCGGGCGGCAGACAGGGGAACACACGCGTGCAATGGTTCTCGGTACGTGCTGTGCAGTGATTGTTGAGACGCCTTAGGAATCGGCAGGAGAGCACACATATACTTCATCCACTTGCCCATCTGTATGCGGGCGGCAGGCAGGGGAACACGTGGGTGCAGTGGTTCTCGGTACGTGCGAGTCCCTTATTGCACAACGAATCTATAGGCACCTCAGAAATTGGCAGGGAGAACACGTGCGCTCTTGGTTAGAGAACCTTCGCTGCATCCACTTGTCCTTCCGTATGCGGGCGGCAGGCAGGACAACACGCGTGTGCAATGGTTCTTGGTATGTGTGAGCAGATTCCCTTGTCCCTCTCCATCTGCACTGGCTGGCTTGTAGGCTTGCTTCGTTTGGGCCGCCAGCCCAGCATGCTGCTAATACTGAGCTCTGCCACTCATTTGTTAGCACCCACATGATCACCACTCACCTTCCTATCTGGCCTGACTTGACCCCAACAACCTTCCTCCCCAACCCCCTTCCCCACCCATCCCCACCGCACTCCATCCCTGCAGATGCTGCCCGACATGAGTGACAAGCGCCGCATTCACCCAGCAGGCGCGCTAGGGGGAGAGGGGGGGCTAGAACAGGGCGGGGGGGGGGAGGAGGAGGGGGAGGAGGAGGAGGGGGGGCTGCGAGTGGGGGCGGAGGAGGTGGGGCGGGTGGTGATGGTGGTGTGTGTCCCAGTGAGGGATGATGGGGAGGAGGGCGCGGCTGTTGAGAGCAGTCCCGTGGGACCCATCATGCCAGGTAAGGAGCAATGCAAAGAAGGGGGAGGGGATGGGGAGAAGAGGCAGGAAGGGGTGCGGTGAGAGGGGCTGGCAGGGGGTGAGGGATGATGGGGAGGAGGGCGCGGCTGTCGAGAGCAGTCCTGTGGGACCTATCATGCCAGGTAAGGGGGCAAGGGAGGGGGGCTGGCAAGGGAAGAAGGGGTTAGAACAGGAACAGGGTGGTGGTGGTGGTGTGCGTGCCTGTGAGAGACGACGGGGAGGAGGGCGCTGCTGTGGAGAGCAGTCCTGTGGGACCCACCATGCCAAGTAAGGGGTAAGGGAGAGGCGAGGGGGGGTAGGACGGCAGCAGCAAGGGGAGATAGGACTGCACGGGGTGAGGGGCGATGGGGAGGAGGGGGGCGCTGCTGTTGAGAGCAGTCCTGTGGGATGGGACCTATCATGGGATGAGCAGTCCAGGTAGGGGACGCGGCAAAGGGTAGGGTAGGCAGGTGAGGCAAGAGGAGGGGTAGGGTATGGGAATGGCAGCAGGGGAAGGTGGGAGGCTGCTCACCTGGGTTGGAGGGAGATAGGACTGCATGGGGTGAGGGGCGATGGGGAGGAGGGCGCTGCTGTGGAGAGCAGTCCTGGGGGACCCATCATGGCAGGTAGAGTTTGCTGGTGGAGGGGTGAGTGGGGGAGAGGGTGAAGAGAGAAGACAGCTAGGGGTGTGGATGGTAGAGGGCAGCACGGGGTGCGGGACGATGGGGAGGAGGGCGCGGCCGTGGAGAGCAGTCCTGTGGGGCCCGTCATGGCAGGTAGGAGGCAAAGGAGGGAAAGAGGCAAGGAGGGGCGAGAGGGGCTGGAGGTGAACAAGTGGCTGCCAGCTCTCTTCTTGTTGTGTGTTCATCTTAGTGCTACGGCTCATCGCTACACGCTTCAGCCCACTTCCAAAGTTTCTCTCCTCTCCACTTTTCTCCCCCCTTGTCATCCCCCTCTCCCCCCCCCTCCGCCCTCACAGCCCCCCCAGCGTATGTGCATCTGGCAGCGGATGGCGATGTGAGGCTGGGAGGGGTCCTTTCACGCACTCACCTCCTCCATTCTTCTCCTTACCCTCGCCTCCTCCCCCCCACCTCCCCCCCTCCGCCCTCACAGCCCCCCCAGCGTGTGTGCATCTGGCAGTGGAGGGCAATGTGAGGCTGGGAGGGCAGCTCACCTGTCGAGCGCTCTACCATGGCGGGTAATGTGCTTCGCCCTGCCTTTGCTTCGCCCTGCCTGTGCTTCGCCCTGCCTGTGCTGTGCATGTCTGCAAGCACTACAGCTTTTCTCCCTCTCTGTCCCCTGCTGCTTGTTTTCTCATGTACCCCATCCGCCCTCCTCCATGCGCCCCCCTCCCCCTGTGTGCCCCGTCTGCCTCCCACGCATGCCCCATCCGCCCCCCCGGAATCTGCCCTTCCTATGCGTGCAGGCAGCAGGGCGAGTGCCGGGTGGCATGGGTGAGAGTGGCGGCCACAGGGGAGGAGCAGCTCGTTGGGCGGCAAGGTGAGAAACTATGAGTTGCAGGTGCGGGGATTTTGACCCGGAATACGCACTCTGAATTGATCCATACCCACGTGCTGCGTCCATCCCTCCCTACCGCCTCCCATGCTGGTACACACACGGTGACAGCAGAGGACGTGGGGAGGCGGCTGCAAGTGGAGTTCACTCCACGGTGTCAGGGGAGGACGCACTCTGTCTTTGAGCTGCCTCTTTCCGAGCCGTACACACAACTTTGAACGATCTCCCCGCCCTGCGTGCCTCTCTGCCTAACCGCCCCCCCTGTCCTGTGCAGGCACGTACAGGGTAACAACAGAGGACGTGGGGAGTCGGCTGCGAGTGGAGTTCACTCCTGTGCGGGCCGATGGGGCTGCTGGGGAGGTTTGCACCCATTTCTGAGGCGCCTCTCTGACTGAAGGTTTCCTCTCGCCCTGCCTGCCTCCCTACCCCCCCTATCCCCTGCGTAACACCTGCAGGCACGTACACAGTGACAGCAGAGGACGTGGGGAGTCGGCTGCGAGTGGAGTTCACTCCTGTGCGGACCGATGGGGTCGTTGGGGAGGTGGCTGCTGTCACCACCGATACAGTCACACCAGGTACCCTCCTTTCTGGCTGTCGCTGCTACAGTCACTCCTGTGTGGGCTGATGGGGCTCTTGGGGAGGCGGCTGCACTCACCACCAGCACAGTCGCACCAGGTGCTCAGCAATAACTGTGCTGGATAAGCCATGAAGCACAGACAGCTTCATGGCTGCTGCTTGAAAGCTGCCACAGGCACACCATGCATGCACGTCACGGCTGCTGTTGCAATTTGAGATGGATAAGGTAGCCCACATTTGAGATGGATAAGGTAGCCCACATTTGAGATGGATAAGGTAGCCCACATTTGAGATGGATAAGGTAGCCCACATTTGAGATGGATAAGGTAGCCCACATTTGAGATGGATAAGGTAGCCCACATTTGCCACCGGCCGCTCACCTGCTCTTCCTGTTTCTGACTCCCCCCTGCTCCGCCACTCCCCCACTCCCGTGGCCCCCCACGCCCCTGCTTTCTTCCTCCCCTGCCTTACAGACCGCCGTGTGTGCATTAGTGTGTTGGAGGGGGGCGTATTGCAGGCAGGAGGGGAGATGCTAGAGTGTGCTGCAGCGGGGGAGAGGGGAGGGGGAGAAGGCGGGCTGGGGGAGGGGAGATCAGGGGAGGGTGGAAGGGGAGAAGGGGGAGCGGGGGAGGGGGATGTGTGGGTGGTGTGGTACAGGCAGGGGCGGGATGGGCGGATGGAGCGGATAGAGGGGGCGGAGGGGCGCACGTACGTGCCTCAGGAGGCTGACTACGGCTGCTGTGTGGTGGCGGGGTGAGTTGGTTTCATTGAGAGGGGATATTGGTATTGGTGCGCTTCAATAAGCGAATAGAGGGGGCGGAAGGGCGCACGTACGCGCCACAGGAGGCTGACTATGGTTGCTGTGTGGTGGCGGGGTGAGTGGGGTCCCTTAGGGTGGGTGGTGTGGTACAGGCAGGGGCGGGATGGGCGAATGGAGCGGATAGAGGGAGCAGAGGGGCGCACGTACGTGCCTCAGGAGGCTGACTATGGCTGCTGTGTGATGGCGGGGTGAGTGGGTATCCGTTGGGGCTGTGTTGACTTGTATGGCTGAATAGGAGTATGTGGCATGCCATGCCACTGCTCACTCCGTGCCACTCTCACACTCCTGCCTGCACCATTCTCTATCCTTACCAGTTCCCCACTCCCTCCCACACTCCCTCCTCGCCCCCTCCCCCCTGCCCTACCCCACCAGCTGTCGCCCGTGGCTATCGGATGGCACATGGGTCGATGAAGTGCTCTCTGCTCTGGGTCACATCGTCCCCCACCCACTCCCAACCCCATTCCCCTTCTTGCCCCCTCACCCTCTCCCTCTCCCTACCCCACCAGCTGTCGCCCGTGGCTATCTGATGGCACATGGGGCGACGAGGTGCTCTCTGCTCCGGGGCCCATCGTGCTGCCAGGTAAGTCCTTCCTTGCACGGGTCTGTCTGTGTCGCTGAGTGGGGCTGTGCTGATGGGTGGGGCTGTGTTGTGCTGATACCCCCTTCGCCTTCTGTTATGCCTCCTCGTCCCCACCACCTCCCACCACCCCGACCAGCCCCCAACATCTTCCACCATCCCACCCCACCCCCCACCACCACCCACCACCCCTTACCACCCTCCACCATTCCCAACCATTACCACCCCTCACCACCGCACACCAGAGCTGTCGGACGAGGAGGCGGTGTCACTGGAGGTGGAGGGGCGGGCGGAGGTGGGGGCAGTACTGCACGCCCTGCATGCTGTGTCGCCCGCCCTGGAGCCATTCGTCACAGCTGTTCACATGCAGTGGTGAGTCCCAGAAACACAGGCACAGGTGAGCCCAGCTCATTTGCGTTGGTGAGCTGTGAGTCGAGTTTACCCACCACTGCTGCACACCCTGCATTCCGTGACTCCTGCCCTCGAGCCGTTTGTCACCGCTGTCCACATGCAATGGTAAGCAGGCTGCTGGATGACTCATCTGCACTGGTGCGCCATGGGTGAAGTCCACTCTAGTGCTGCACGCCCTGCATGCTGTTCCGCCTGCCCTTGAGCCATTCGTCACAGCCATTCGCGTGCCTGGACCAAGGCGCGCGCCCGGACCAAGGCGCGCGCCCGGACCAAGGCGCGCGCGCGGACCAAGGCGCGGCCTTTCTAGCACATTTTGGAGTTAGTATATTTACAGACGTGCTCTCCATAGCAAAGCAAAATTATTGTTCTGGCCGTCGGTAGCGCTAAACGCGAAACAATCCGCACCCATATAGAAAATGAAGCAATCAATCACGGGTACTACGTGCTATCAATCGCCACCAGATGGCAGGCTAGCAGGGGCTCTGACTCGCACCTCCCCATGCCACTAAACCTCTCCCCCCTCTCCCGCTCATCCCATCCTCGCCAGGTGGCAGGCCAGCAGCGGCTCCGACTCGCACCGCCCGATCGACGGCGCCACGTCAGCGCGCCTGCCAGTGACGGCGCGCCACGTGGGCGCGTACCTGCTGTGCTCCGCCACCGTGCTGGACTCGTTCGGGCGCTCATTCAACTCTGTTGCCACCACCGCCACCCCCATCGCTCCTGCCACTTCCACACCTATCGCTGCCCCTGCTAACCTTGCCCTCTCAGCCCCCTCTGAGGCTGCGACTGCCATCCCAGCTGCTGAGACTGCTGCTGGGCCCCATGGAGCCTCCCCTGGCGATGCAGACAGGCAGCCTGCCTCTGAAACGTTGCTGGCTGCTCCCGCTGCCACCAGTGCCGCCACTGCGGGCGCTGCTGGAGAGGCTGCAGGCACAGAGGAGGCACGGGGCATGCAGGGGGCGCAGCAGCAGGGTGAGGGCGAGGGGGCCGTGCTGCTGGAGGGAGGCAGGGGAGCGGCACAAGGCAGGCATGAACGAGGAGTGCATGAGCAACGAGGGCGTGAAGGAGGGCAGGACGGCCAGGCAGGCCACGTGGGGGAAGGGCATGAGCAAGTGCGTGGAGGCATAGGGGGAGGGTATGCGGGGGAGGGAGAAGGCAGGCGAGAGAGCAGAGCATCAGCAGAGGCGGAGAGTGCAGGGTTCCGCCCTGCAGCCACCCCCGCACACTCAGAGCACACCGCGCTGCGCATATCAGGAGGGCCCTACCACACGTCGCTATTCCACCTGCACCTGCCGCCGTCGCCCCCTGCCCCTGCCTGGCTGCGCCCGTCCTCCTGCTGCATCCAGTGGTTCCGCGTGCCTCCAGGGGGGTTCCACGCTTTGGATCCGCAGCCCATACCCGGTGAGTGCCCCCCTAAACCCCCAAACCCTCCTCCCCGGCCCCCCTTGCCTGCCTGCCCGTGCCCACGCCTCCTGCTGCGTCCAGTGATTCCGCGTGCCCCCAGGGGGGTTCCACGCCTTAGAACCCCCCCATACCCGCTGAGTGCTTCAGGTTAGGTGCGAGGTTAGGTGCCGTACCCCTATCATCCGTCCCCCCCCCTTTGCCTGGCTGCGACCCTCCTTCTGCTGCATCCAGTGGTTCCGCGTGGCCCCAGGGGGGTTCCACGCTTTGGATCCCCACCCCATACCATGCTTTGGATCCGCAACCCATACCCGGTGAGTGCCGCTGTGCTAAGCCGTAGTCCATACCCCACCCCTCCCCCCTCCTGTCGCACATCAGTGCCTCACGGTGGAGTTGCGGCCCCTCCCATCCCTTCACACACTTAACCGTAATCCCTGTCCCCTCCCACCCCCTCTCCCTGTTGCAGGTGCAACGGCCACAACATACCAAGCTGACGTGGCAGACGCGCATCAGTGCCTCATGCTGGAGCTGCGGCCCCTGCCCGCCCAAGACGTGCACTCCCAGCAACAGGAGGGGGAAGCGGAAAGGGATGGGGAGGAGGTGGTGCTGCGAGTGCTGTCGCCGCAAGTGCTCGTTGGTACGTGAAGTTGCCCATTCTTATAACGTGCCTGCACTGCATTGCACCTACTTCTCCTCCCCTCTTCTTCCTCATTGGTCGTACAAACCCACACTCGACCTGCTCCTTGTTCCTTTCTCCCTGAGAATCTCTCGATGTTCATCGCGCCCCCTCTCTCTTTCTACCCTTCTCCGCCTCTTTCTCGCTTGTGCCTCTTGCATTACTATGCACTGCTCCTCCTTTCACCCAGCCTCTCTCGCTGCGCTGTTGCGTCATTCACTTGTGCCTTCTCCCCGCTGTGCCCAATCACTCCCTGCTGTGCCCATTCACCCCCTCCCCTGTCCCCCCACCAGACCCCGCAGTGGCGAGGGATGTGGATCTCATAGTCGCAGCAGGCAGCACCAAAGTGGAGGTCAGTTCAGTGCCCATGATAGGTGGTGCTGGGGGTGTGGTAGTTGAGGCGGTTGGGGGGGTGCACGAAGCAGTCACGTGCTGCTGTTATAGGACCATGTGCGTGCACCTATCCTTCCCTGCCAGACCCCGCAGTGGCGAGGGATGTGGATCTCATAGTGACAGCAGGCAGCACCAAAGTGGAGGTCAGTGCCCATGATAGGTGGTGCTGGGGGTGGTGTGGTGCTGGGTGGGGTGTGGTGCTGGGGCTGGTGTGGTGCTGGGTGGGGTGCGGTAACTGGGTGGTTGTGTGGGTACACCGTACGGCCATGTGCTGCCTCCCCTGCAACCATCCAGACCCAGCAGTGGCGAGGGACGTGGATCTCATAGTGGCGGCAGGCAGCACCAAAGTGGAGGTCAGTGCCCATGAGTCATGACACATGGTGCTGGTGTGAGGTAATTGGGGGGTTGGGAGGGTGGGTGCATGAAGCAGTCACGTGCTGCCATGGAACACCGTGCTCTTGCGCGACCATGCAAACCCCGCAGTGGCGAGGGATGTGGATCTCATAGTGGCGGCGGGGCGCACCAAAGTGGAGGTCAGTTCAGTGCCCATGAGTGAGGACACATGGTGCTGGGGGGGCTGCTGGCGGGTGGTGCCGAGGAGTGTGTGGTGCTGGGGGCGGTACTGTGGTGCTGGGGGCGGTACTGTGGTGCTGGGGGCACCTGCTTGCCATTCACCCCCTCCCCTGTGCCCACCAGACCCCGCAGTGGCGAGGAGTGTGTAGTGCTGGGGGCGGTACTGTGTGCATGTGAACATGTATTCTTAGGTAGCCATGGGCTGTTGTGTCTATGTATGTGATGCTGCGGTGCTCATATCTTCTGCTGCCATGCCATGCCTTGCATGCCGTGCTGCCATGCCGTGCATCCGATGCCCTGCATACAACCAGCCAGCCCTCCCAATTCCCTGCCCAATCGCCCCACTCCCTTCCACATCATCCTCTCCTTTTCCCCCTCCCCTCTTTCCCTTCCTGCCTCCTCGCCAGACACATGACGTGGGGCGGTCGGGCCGGAGGGAGCACCGAGTGGTGGACGCCAGTAGAAAGCGGTTCAAAGTGGTGAAGCTCACTGCACTCGCTGCCATCAACCGAGTGGAAGTCAGAGCAACCTACGACCCGCCCTTCAGGGTAACACTCACGGCTCAGGTTTGGGAACCTAAAGGTTAGGGTTCAGTGTTTGGGAACTTGGGGTAACACAATTCCCCCTTTCTCTCCCATCTCTCATTCTTCCCACCCCCTGCCATCAGGTGGAGACAGAACCGGGTGAGCGGGAGCGCATGTGCGTGGTGGTGAGTGCAGAGAGGGAGGTGCAACTCACACTGCCCTCCTCCCCCTTCCTCTTCCATCCTCTCCCATCTCTCATTGCACCACGTGTGCCATCAGGTGGAAACTGAACCGGGCGAGCGTGAGCGCGTGCAGGTGGTGGTGAGTGTGGAAAAGGAGGTAGAACTCACACTGCTCCCTTTGTTTTCCCCTTTTCTCTCCCGTCTCTCATTCTCCCCACCCCTCGTCTGCAGGTGGAAACAGAACCGAATGAACGGGAGCGCATGCGGGTGGTGGTGAGTGCGGACAAGGAGGTGGAACTCACACTTCCCTCCTCCCTCTCCCACCCCCTTCCTCTCCCATCTCTCATTGCACCCGTGTGCCATCAGGTGGAAACAGAACCAGGCGAGCGGGGGTGTATGCGGGTGCTGGTGACTGCAGGCAAGGAGGTGGAACTCACCCCTTTCCTTTCGTTTTCCCCTTCCTCCTGTGTCTCTCCTTTTCTCTACCCCCCGCCATCAGGTGGAAACTGAGCCGGCCGAGCGGGAGCGCATGCGTGTGGTGGTGAGTGCGGAAAAGGATGTCTTAGCTCATTCAGCATCCCTTCTTCCCCCTTCTGCTGTCAGGTGGAGACAGAACCAAACGACCGGGAGCGCATGTGCGTGGTGGTGAGTGCAGAAAAGGAGGTGCAACTGACACTGCCCTCCACCCCCTTCCTCTCCCATCTCTACTTGCACCACGTGTGCCATCAGGTGGAAACAGAACCGAATGAACGGGAGCGCATGCGGGTGGTGGTGAGTGCGGACAAGGAGGTGGAACTCACTCTGCCCTCGCAGCGAGCCCGGGATGTCATGGTGCTCTGCCTGCGTGCCTTCATGCAGCAGCACCGCACTGCCAAGCACCATTAACGGCTGGTACCGCACTGCATCGCGCAGCACCACTGTATCAGATGCAGCGAGCCCGGGATGTCATGGTGCTCTGCCTGCGTGCGTTCATGCAGCAGCACCGCACTGCCAAGCACCATTAAGAGCTGGTACCGCACTGCATCGCGCAGCACCACTGTCTCAGATGCAGCGAGCTCGGAATGTCATGGTGCTGTGCCTGCGTGCATTCATGCAGCAGCAGCACCGCACTGCCAAGCATTAAGCCAGTCATGCGAAGCTGACTGCTGTGCTGAATGGGGGTTAATTCTCTTTCATGCCAGGTGCCCATCTTGCTGCTGCTGTTAGGAGTGAGCTTAGGATGGGCCGCCGGCTTGGCAGGCTCACTTGAATGTGTTTGTACATTTTTTTCAAAGTTGGGCAATACATAAATATCGACCTGGCTGTGCACATCCGGCACTGATCCTACATGGCATGGCTAAACTAAACAACTGAAACAAACATAGTGGAAAACAGGCAAGAACAGTTCAAGCAAAAGGCAGAGATGTGAGTGCGTACGTGTTGGCTTTTGAGGCGCCTCAAAAGGTGACAATGCAAGCCAGCAGAGATGTGAGGGCGCGCTTGTTGGCGCCACCAACCACTCGAGAACAAAGCACCCCTTTGAACTGCGAACAATCTGTGAGCACACAGATTGCCTTGCTTGAGCCTCCATCCATTCAGCCCAGAACAAATCCCCTTGTTCTGGAAAATGTGGAGGCAACTGTGAGCAGCACAGGAGCACCTTGGTGCAGATCTCTTCACAAGGCTGCGGCTGAGAGGCTTGGTTGGCCACCGACTAAGGGGCTGTGCAGCCATGAGAGCAGCGAGAGCGGCTGTGCATGAGAGGTAGGGGCTAGGGCTAGCAAGGCGTTGTCAGAGCAGGGGGGTGCCGTTGGGGAGCACGGGCGAGGGGCAGGCGAGGATGCGGCGCAGCGCTGCCTCTGCTGCTGGCAGTGAGTCCACTGCGTCTGATGTGGTGAAGGACAGGCGCTGCACGTGGAACTGAAGGGGTGGGGAGGGATGGAGAGGGGCAGGGATAGAGAGGGCGGAGATGGAGCAGTATGGATGGATGTATGCTGCCTCTGCTGCTGGCAGCGAGTCGAGTGCGTTTTATGTACGGAGAACTGCAGAGAGAAAGGGTGAGATTGGGTTGCTATGAAGAATGAGGCATGTGCAGGGTGTCATATCAGCACTGGGTGGATAGACATGCACATGCGCCATGTCATACCACCTGCATGCCATGTCATCCCACCTGCATGACATGTCATCCCACCCTCATGACATGTCAACCCCACCTGTGCAGCATCCCATTGTTCACCTGTGTGTCGTGTCATGTACCATGCCCTACCTGAGTGACGACCGCACACGAATATCCACCCGCTTGCTGTGGATGCTGATAAACGAAGCATCGTCGATGGCCTGCTGGGGCTGCTCGCTGCTTGAGTCACCCGGGTACCATGTCATGTTACTTGCGCAGCCCGCTCTATGCACTTGTGTGCCCATTTACCCACCTGAGTGCCGTGCAACACGGGGATGTCAACCCCTTGCTGTGGATTGCTGATGAACGAAGCATCGTCGATGGCCTGCTGGGGCTGCTCGCTGCTAGAGTCACGTGGGTACCATGTCATGCCACCCACGTTCCATGTCTCTCACCCGTGCGTCGTCTCTCTCCTCACCTGAGTGCCATGCCGCACGCGGATGTCAACCCCCTTGCTGTGAATGCTGATAAAGGAGGCATCGGTGATGGCCTGCTGGGGGCTCGCAGCCACACCTGGTCACCCCACCCACCCACGTGCCACATGTCTCCACCCACCTGAGTACCATGCCGCACGCGGATGTCAACCCCCTTGCTGTCGATGCTGATAAACGAAGCGTCGTCGATGGCCTGCTGGGGGCTCGACCCCGCCAGCACTGCCCTTAGATCGGCTCCCAGCCGATCGTTGAGTTCCTGCCAGCCACAGATAGGGGGAAGGAGGATGAGAGAAGAGGAAAAAGGGGATGGTGGAAGGAGGATGAGAGAAGAGGAAAAAGGGGATGGTGGAAGGAGGATGAGAGAAGAGGAAAAAGGGGATGGTGGAAGGAGGATGAGAGAAGAGGAAAAAGGGGATGGTGGAAGGAGGATGAGAGAAGAGGAAAAAGGGGATGGTGGAAGGAGGATGAGAGAAGAGGACAAAGGGGATGATGGAAGGAGGATGAGAGAAGAGGAAAAAGGGGATGGTGGAAGGAGGATGAGAGAAGAGGAAAAAGGGGATGGTGGAAGGAGGATGAGAGAAGAGGAAAAAGGGGATGGTGGAAGGAGGATGAGAGAAGAGGAAAAAGGGGATGGTGGAAGGAGCAAGAGAGACGAGGAAAAAGGGGGATGGTGGAAGCACAATGATAGCATGCACCACTCGACCCTGCCAGCACGCCCTCAGCTCCGCCCCTAGCCGGTCGTTGAGCTCCTGTTGAAGAGAACAATGAGAGAGGGAAAGGGGAAGGCGTAAAAAGGAACCGGAATGACAATCCTCACCGCTTGAACCCGCCAGCACCACCATCAGCTTGGCCCCTATCCGGTCTTGTCATTCAGCTTGGCCCCTATCCGGTCTTGTCATTCAGCTTGGCCCCTATCCGGTCTTGTCATTCAGCTTGGCACAAGGTACCTTCTCCCTCTCACCTGCAGTGTGTGCTCCACGTGGTTGGTGGCCACGGTGTCAGGCGTGGCAGCCACATACTCAGCCACATCTATCCACGCCACCGTGCCAAAGCCCCCCACAAAATAGATGTCACTGAGGGAGTGGGGGGGGGAGAGGAAGGGGGAGGAAGGGGGAGGAAGGGGGAGGAAGGGGGAGGAAGGGGGAAGGAAGGGGGAGGAAGGGGGAGTGGGGGGAAGGGCAAGAGAGAGTGTGTAAGTATGTATGTAGGCGTCATTTCACATACTCAGCCTCGTCTATCCATGCCACCGTGCCAACCCCCCCCAGTAAGTAGATGGTGCCAAAAGCGGTTACCGGATGACCAGATGAATGTGCTTACCGAACGAATCTGGTCACAAGATGAATGTGGTTACCGCATGAATCTGGTTACAAGATGAATGCACTTACCAGATGGTATCCATGCGGTAAAAGTGGAAGTTTCCCCATTGCTGCGCTGCCCCGTGCTGGTGCCGCTTCACATAGAAGCCCCGCGCCCACTCCTGCCAGTGGCGCAACCAAAGGGGAGGGAGGGAGGGAGGGAGGGAGGGAGGGAGGGAGGGAGGGAGGGAGGGAGGGAGGGAGGGAGGGAGGGAGGGAGGGAGGGAGGGAGGGAGGGAGGGAGGGAGGGAGGGAGGAGGGAGGTGAAGTGAGGGCCCGGAGGGAGAAATGGCAAAATGTGAAGTGGGGGGCATGGAGGGGAGGAGGAGTTAGGGAGGGAGAGGGGATTGTTTGCGTGCTGGTGCAAACACGCTAACGGGTTGTTATCGCACTTGGTTTCACCCCCATGTGCTGTGATGTATCTAGTCTAGTGTCTACCAGCTATCTGGGGGGGTAGACGACAAAAGGGTACAGGTCCCACCTGCTGGCTGGGCGGCAGGGGGTAGAGGTCCCCAAAGATGGTGGCGCGGGCATTGCAAGGCCGCTCCACCCTGGGATCTGCACCACCACGGTGCAGCGCGGGTCCGACTGCAGGTTGCGCGAATGCATGCCCAGTGGAGAGAGCAGGAACACGGGGTCTGGGGGATTGGGGTTGGGGGGGGAAGAAGAGGAAAGTGGAGGAGTGAGGGGAATGGCAGGGGAAGGTGAAATCTGCATGACCACGGTGCAGCGCGGGTCGGATTGGAGGTTGCGCGAGTGCATGCCGAGAGGGGAGAGCAGGAAAAGGTGGAACAAGCAGACTCCCTCTCTCGTTTCCCGTGCACACCTCACTCCCATCCTCGGTCCAACCTCGCTCGCCCGCCCTTCCCCCCTCCCCCACCTCCCCCCTCCCCACTCCTCCCCCTCTCTATCCCCACTTCCCCCTTACCCACTTTCCCACTCATGCCCCCAATCCCTCCATTTCCCGACTCACGGCCGTCAGCGTCGGTTGTAAAGTCAACGAGCGACCCAAAGGGGTACCCCTTGCGGCGGTGGTGCGACCTTGACATGATGGAGCAGAGCTGTGCGTATTGCGCCTGCTGCCCTCCTTGCTTGCTCCCTCACCTGCCCTTCCCTCCTCTCCCATTCCCCTACCCACTGCCCACGCTCTTCCATCCCACTCCCTGCCCCCCCCTGCCCCCGTTCCCCTCCCCACCTTCCCTTTGTTTACTCACGGCCGTCAGCGTCAGTGGTAAAGTCAACGAGCGACCCAAAGGGGTACCCCTTGCGGCGGTGGTGCGAGCGGGACATGATGGAGCAGAGCTGCGCGTACTGCGCCTGCTCCACCAGATTGCGCACCGCCACTGCTGGCGCGGGTAGGCCGTGGGCGCTCGTGGCGCTCTCTACCCCTCCGGATACTGGCGAGCGGAAGAGACCGGAGCGTGTGGCGGAGACTGGAGGAGAGGGAAGACGGGAAAGAGGAAACGGTGCAGGGTGGAACGTGGGAGATGGGAAGTGGGGGAAGAAGGGGGGAATGGGGGAGTGGGGAAGGGTGGGGAGGGGAGAAGTTGGGGGGGGGAGAAGGAGGGAGGGGAGCGGAGGAAGGGATACGCTGCCTCACTCACCCACCTTTACTGCGCCACTGCTAATCACCCGCCTCTTCGCACCACTGACACTCACCCGCAACCCCCCCCTCCCCCACTGCCACTCACCCGCAACCCCCCCCTCCCCCACTGCCACTCACCCGCAAACCCCCCCTCCCCCACTGCCACTCACCCGCAACCCCCCCCCTCCCCCACTGCCACTCACCCGCCCTCACTGCGCCATCGCCTGCGGCGGACACCAGCGGCGCCGCCCCCGCATTTGCCTCGCCCGCGCCCTCTGCAGCAGCTGCGCGCCACGCCCTTCGCCTGCGGGGGGGAGCGCGCGCTGCGCTTGGCGGAGTGGCGCACAGGTCGGTGCGGAAGGGGGAACCGGCGGCTAGCGAGTGGGCGGAGGAGAGTAGACGCGCGGGGGGCAAGGGTATTCTGGAAAATAATGGGAGAGCGGGGGGGGGGGAGGGGGAACAGGGAGGGGAGGGGATGGGAGAAAAAGGAGGGAACGGGAGGCAGGGAGAGGGACGGGGGAGAGAATGGAGCGAGAGTCAAGAACGACGGGGAATGAGGAGTTAGAATCAAGTGGGGAAGAAATGAGGTCAGGAGGACAAGAGTAGGTGATTCGGGAAATGCGGGGGGGGAGTGCAGCTGCTCTTGTTCTGAAAGGTTGTTCATATCGCAGCAGCGTATGCGGCCTACACCGCGTGTGTAGACGACGTTACAGCGTGCGATAGAGCGCGCATTGCTTACGAAAACGCCGCAGTGGCGACGACCCACCTATAGCGTTCGCTCGTTACTGTAACACTCGCCAAGGGGCGCGTTCCCGGGGGCAAGGCGGGGTGGGACGCGGAGGGCCATGGGCCGGACTCGCGCGGAACGGGGAAAGCTGCGCGGAAGAGAACGAACAAGCGCGGCGAAAATAACTGGAGATACCGCGCTGGGCGGCGTTGCTCGTTTCTTCGACGGCTGCCAATGCCAGGGCGGAATAATGTTGCTGGTGGCGACTAGAGCACGCGCGACGCGGGCTGCTGATGATCTCTGAGTGCGCGGTGAAGTATGGCGAAGATCGGATGGTGATTGGACTCTGGGTTGGATCAGAACGAATCGAAACTTGGGGTTCGGGGGATGGGATGGGACTTCCGAAATAATCGTAGTGTACAAGTGTGTATCTAGCTGTTGTGAAAAGGAACCCTCTTTGTAACGGACCCAGAGCAGGTGCCTCGCCAGCTAACCGGGGGAATGGGCTGCTGACACGTGCACGAGATAAAGGCGGAAACCTGGGAATCTGGGGAGGAAACGACCCAATCAAGCCCGTGAATCGCGTCAGCAACAACCAAACGCAGGACTGATGAGTTGAGAGTACGGTGAAAAGAGTTTCATGTGGTCTCTGTAACACAAACAGATGAGGCCGCCTTTATCGGTTGCACGTGATACAGATCCCATAAGATTAATACCCCGCCCCAACCGTTCTCTATTTAGATTGCTCGCATCTGGAACGCAAAGCAGCATATTGAACCGCTTTCTAACTTTCTCAGGCGTCTTGATTTGGCATCAAGCAAGCAACTGCAGCGCCGCCAATCAACCTTTCCCACCCATTCCCATTCTTCCCTTCGCACCACCACCTGCCAGAAAATCACTCATTACTACGTTCACTCACTTTCATTCCGCTGATATCCCACATACCACCCCGAGTCGCCATTCGTCACGCGCATGTCTCTCTAGATTTTACCCACTTTCACTGCCGTGCTCCGCATCGGACCTCCGTGTGCCGCACCTCCTTTGAATTTCTCCTCGTTGAATCCGCAGTTTATTCCTCCTTCAGGTCTTTCCGTAGCGTGCTCGTTGCCTTGTCGTGCCGCATCCCCCGCGATCACCCGGCGCCACTCATCCTTGCGACGATCCGACCATGCGACAGGAGGATGGGAGAGGAGGGAATGGGGGGGGAGCCGTCAGGGACGGGCTGGATTAGGCGCCGCGATAGGCGCGTGATAGGCGCATGATAGGCGCCTGTGAAATTTCGAACCACTCTTGACAGTTTCGTTAGCAGCTTACTAATACACCGCAACTAGACGCGAAAGTGCGCCGCAACGTGTCAAATACAAAGTCGAGTGGGCCCATAGTACCGCCGCCGCCGGCGTCGGCGGAGAGCGTTGATGTCTTTGCCCGTCGCATAGCCGCCGTTACCCTTGTAAATACCCTCCCCTCTCTCGCGCCACCTATTTTCTAGGCACCTCTCGAATCGTCCGCTCGTCACCGTCTCCTATAACGGCGCCTAATTTGTACATAATCCCCTCTTCGGCGTCTGTCCGCTTTCCCGCCTCCGCCTCTCCACCTTTCCGCCTTTCCGCTTCTCCGCCTTTCCGCCGCTCCGCCTCTCCGCCCTCCGCCCGCGCGCCATGGCGTTCCCGGAGCTGCTAGCGCGTCAGGCGTCAATCTACTCACTCACGCTCGACGAATTCCAGGCGACGTTCGCAGGCCCGTCGCACGCCGTCGCATCCATGCCCATGGACGACTTTCTGCGATCCGTCTGGCTCGCCGAGGAGTCGCAAATGCTCGCCGCCGCGCACGCCGCCGGCGGCGCGGATCCGCGCGCGCGCGACAAGGCCGCGGGGCTGCTGCGCGCGCGCTCGCTACGGAGGCAGAAGTCCGCCGCAGCGCTTCCCGCGCGCGCAGACTGCGCGGACAGTTGAAGACGTGTGGAACAGACATTACAGGCCGAACTAGCGGGGGAGGGGGGAGCAGCGGAAGGGGGCGGGCATCGGCGGAAGGTACTCGCGGAGGGGGGGGGAGGCGCAGCAGCAACAAGCGCAGGGGCAGGGGCAGCAACAAATACGGCAATTGTCGTTTGCAGAAATTACACTGGAAGATTTTTTAGTGCGCGCAGGGATTTCGAAGGAAGAGCTAATAGGGGGTATAGCGGCTATAGGGGGAGAGCCGGGGATGGGGAGGAGGCGAATGGCGGGATTGGCAGCAGTGCGCGGGGAGAGGGGGAGGGCGGAGCCGGCGGGGGCGAGGGGGAAGGTGGAGGGGGGAAAGGAGGGGGGGAACTCACTGGAACGGACGGGCGGATGGGGAGCGTGGGGGCAAATGGCCGCAGTGCTGACGTGGCACATGATTCGAAAGCTACAGCCGCGGCAACAGGGTGGGAACTCCACCCACATGCGGGGGCAGCAGGGCAGGCAGGACAAGCAAAGGTGCCATTCCTGCAGCAGCACAAGAACCAGCTTCACCCGCAGCAGCAGCAGGGGGGGCAGGGCGGAGGCGAGGGAGGGAGAGGGAGAGGAGGTGGGTGGTGGCGGAGAGGGAGGAAGGGGAGGCGAGCAGGCGTTGCAGCAGCAGCAGCAGCAGCAGCAGCAGCAAGCAGTGGTGGAGATGGCAGCAGCGGCGGTGGCAGATGCAGGGCACAGCCACGTGGCATCTGTATTCGCCGCCACACGCCACGCTGCTGCTGCCGCCGCTGCCCTCAACGCCCTCGGGTCCCTGGGGTCCCTGGGAGCACTGGGGGGAGCTCACTGGGAGCACTGGGGGGGAACTCCCTGGGAGCGCTGGGCGCGCAAGGAGGGGGGCTGCTGGGGTCACTGGAGGCAGGGAGCGATGGGGGCGATGGGACCCGCCCCTGCTGGTGGCCTTGCCATGGGGATGGGCATGGGGGGAGGGATTGGGGGAGGCGTGGGCGGAGGCGTTGGGGGAGGCGTGGGGATGGGTGGGGGGTTGGTGCCCACTACGTATGGTGTGGGCGCAGGCATGGGCGCAGGGATAGGCGGAGGCATGGGCGCAGGCATGGGCGCAGGGATGAGCGCAGGGATGGGCGCAGGCATGGGCGCAGGGGGGTTGGGGGGGCTTGCTGGGGCGAGCATGGTGTCGGCGGATGGGGTGGGGGGGCGGGGGAGAGAGGTGGGGGGCAGTGACGGCGGAGGGGGAGGGGGGCAGTCGGATACAGGCGGGGAGTGGGGATGGGGACACTTTGAGCGGGGGCGGTGGGGGGTGGGGGGGAGTGCGGGGCGGAGGGGGAGGAAGCGCAGTGGGGAAGGGGGAGGGGCGCCGGTGGAGAGGAGGCAGAAGCGGATGATCAAGAATAGGGAGTCGGCCGCTCGGTCTCGGGCAAGGAAGCAGGTGCGGTTGGGTGAGGTGCGGTGAGAAAACATTATGTGATTGCCTGCTGCTCCTCCGCTGTGAGTGAAAACTCATGAAGCGTTGAGAGGAGGCAGAAGCAGATGATCAAGAATAGAGAGTCAGCCGCTCGGTCCCGGGCGAGGAAGCAGGTGGGGTGCGATGAGGTGGGGTGAGGTGGGATGGGTTGAGGTGAGGTGAAGAAGCGTTTTCCAGATCTTCTTGTTTTGCTGCTGTGCCACACTGAGTCAAGATCCGTGATACTTTGAGAGGAGGGAGAATGCTGTGCGGCACAGGGTGGACGGCACAGGGTGGACGGCACAGGGTGGACGGCACAGGGTGGACGGCACAGGGTGGACGGCACAGGTGGACGGCACAGGGTGGACGGCACAGGGTGGACGGCACAGGGTGGACGGCACAGGGTCACCGTGTGGCTGTCTGCGTGCACATGGCTCGTGCTCTCTCTCCTCACACCATGCTGCACCAAGCTGCACCAAGCTGCACCAAGCTGCACCAAGCTGCACCATGCTGCACCGCTTCCTGTGCTCCGCCCCACCCCTCTGGTGCACCCCTCTCTCCCCAACCCAGGCATACACACGTTCAAGTCTAACCACGTGCTGCCCTTCCCATGCCACACACCCCCCTGCCCTTTCCCCCTAAGGCGTACACTGTAGAGCCGGGGGCGGAGGTGGCGCAGCTGCGCGCCCAGCCCTTCCCCTCTCCTTAACCCCACCTCAGGCATACGCAGTGGAGCCTGAATGTGAAGGTGCCCGGAAGCCTAGCCACATGATCCTCTTCCCATGCCCCCACTTTCCAACCCTCCAGGCGTATACAGTGGAGCTGGAGGCAGAAGTGGCGCAGCTGAAGGAAAAGAACGAGCAGCTGCGCACCCAGCCCTTCCCCTCTCCTCTCCCCCCCCCCCCCTCAGGCGTACACAGTGGAGCCTGAAGGGTGCCCAGGAGCTTAACCACATAATCCTCTTCCCATGCCCTCCCCCTCCCCACCTCAGGCGTATACAGTAGAGTTAGAGGCGGAGGTGGCACAGTTGAAGGAAGAGAACGAACAGCTGCGCTCCCAGCTGCTGCAGCTGCAGTCACAGTCACACACGCAAATGGTGAGTCAAGAAATATGCAGTGATTGCTCAGCAGCTGCTGCTGCAGTCCCACACCCACGCGCACCCTAGCATGGTGAGTGCACATTGCGCATTGAGTGAACGAAGCACGGTGTGCGCACCCCTTCTCAGCTCGAGCGAGTGCGATCACGTTGACATTACTGTCGCTGTCACTCAGCAGCGCAGCTTCTGGCAAGTTCTCGTTCCCATCATCACATTCGATTTGATTTGATTCGTATCCCCGTCGACCATCGATATTACTTCTTTTCTTGTCTCCATCTTTTTTGTTTTCTCGCCTCTTTCCCCTTCGGACCTGTCTTGCTCCCCTCAATTTCCCCAAACGCTGCAGCCAGCAGCCATGCCTACTTCTCTATCTGCAGCACCACAAACAGCAGTGCCAGCAACGGCAGCAGCAGCAGCAGCAGCAGCGGCGGCAGCAGGCACGCCACTCAGTCTCCTACTACCACCACCGCGGACCGTCCAATTTCCCGGCAAACCCCCTCTCAACCGCTTCACACCTGCACACAACATCTCACCCTCACACTCCTTTGCCAGGTGCAGCAGCAGCAGCAGCAGCAGCAGCAGCAGCAGCAGCAGCAGCAGCAGCAGCAGCAGCAGCAGCAGCAGCAGCAGGTGGGAAGGGTGGTGCTGGCAGCAAGGCACCGCAACGGTCCAGGTCTGGGCCATGGTGACCACCCTTGCTGCCTGGTCTCGCTGGATGCGCGACACCCCCTCTCAACCACATAACACCCCCCCTTAACCGCTTCAAACCTGGACACACTGTCTCAGCCTCACACTGTGAAGGGAGGTGCCGACATCAAGGCACTGCAACGGTTCGGGTCAGGGCCTGGTGACGAGGGAACCACCCGAACTGGCTGGTCTCTCTCGATGCGCCACAAACCCTCTCAACCGCATCACACCCCCACTCAACTGCGTTACACCCCACTCAACCGCATCACACAACCC